GATCATGCCAATCAGAATGAGTTTTTCACGACAAAAGGGCTTTATTACAGACAGAAATACTCCTCAGTTTCATCAGCTGTCTGGGTGGCTTGTCTCAGACGATCCCACAGGGGAAGAAGCAGGATGTGGATGTCCTGGACGGGTGTGGTTACACATGGTCTGTGGTTGAGAGCCCAAATTCTCTAAAACGATTTTGGAGGCAGCTTATGGCAGGGAAATGAACATTACATTATCTTGCAACAGCTCTGGTGGACATTCCTGCAGTCAGCATGCCAACTGCACGCTCATTATACCGAGATTCTGTGCATCATGTATTGGGCTTCCCCTCACTTTGTTGTGAGGTTTTCCCCGATGGGTTGTCTCTGCACCTTCTTGGTGCATACTCCCTTGGTTTCAGGACCTCTGAGGGTTGCTGATGTTGGGACTTTTGCAATACTGGAGTTGGCCATATCACCACGTGATACATCAAATTGAGTATTTGATGGAGAACTTACTTGCGCAACCCCAGTTCTCTGATAATATGAGTGAGATGTATCACCGCGTTCCCCTGCTCACCAGAGCGTGAGGAAGAGAAGCATGCTTGAGAATAACCTGAGGGTGGGAGAGTGACTCCTTTTATAGAGCCACTCTACCTGTCTGTCTCCAACAGACGCTTTAGTAGGTACTTCCGAGAAAGTAGGCGGTCCTGGCAAACGTGATATATCTCGCTCATATTATCAGAGAATCCAGGGTTACGCAAGTAACCTTAAATTATTATCACCTGAAACGGTTCTAGGCAAACCAGAGACACAAGAGATTGGTATTGATAGAAATTGTATTGAAATCGTTTCAATCTCGATTGGATCCGATGTATGAAACCAAACCTCTGGAAATCACAACAAACCTAAGCAGTCCTAGGGCTCTATTCAATCTGTATCGTGGAAGTTCAGCTTTACAGCGTAATTGAAATTTAAAGGCAATGTTCCCGCTTTAGTGGAAACTGCGTTCACGGTAAACGCTGCATATGTCGGCTCAATCGAAAATGACCTTTACATTTCTAGCTTGGAATCTGTAACGCTTTAGCTTCAGGACTAACATTTTCCAGCCCAAACAGCGCATGACCTACTTATACAAAACAACACACACACACACACACACACACAAAAGAAGCAGCATGTGGAAAACAGTTAAAAGACCTGCGTTATTTCACTGCGGCTGCAAATTGTTGTAATTGACGTTTTAATAACCTTGTTATGTCCGTTATTCAAATATATGGAAATTGGGTCACTCTTGATGAATATGGTGTAACCAATAGCATTGTTTTTTTTAAATCTCCTGGTATTTGGGAGCTGGTCTGAAAAAGATGGCTGAATTTTATAATGTGAGGTCCACGTGTGGAAAATTAGTTGGACTCTATCAAGCCAGTATGGCCTTTTGGCCCTCTTTAATATAAAGGTTCTGCAGTGCTTGCACAGTATCCAGACCTTGACTTTCACTTAAATGCATGAAAAATATTATGGAGGATATGACACAGACTATAAAATGTCTTACATGTACAGTTTTTGGTACCGCTGCATAGAACAGATGTATAGGCTAGCAGTATAATACATGGATATGAATGTGAGTCAATGAAGAGGAGAGGATAGTGCAGATGAACGTTGAATGTATTGATTTTCTGAACCTCAGGCTGTGGACTGTACCAACCTGTTGATTTCAGGGGTGTTAACTGTGCTGTGCTCCCTGCACCATTTGTCTAGGCCGTCTATCCTTCTCTCCTCTCCTGCCCTCCTCAGACGAATGAGCTCATCATTGGCCCTGATGCCAGACTAAAGCAAATGCTGCCATAGACAATCCAACTAAACTAAATGTTTACTGCCAAGGAAAGGGGAAAGTAACTCGCTTTTCTTTGCTTTCCAACAACAGGAAACTGAAGAACAACAGGATAAAGCCATTATGAGAGCAGCCAAAGCGTTCTCTCTGGTGCATCTGAAATGGAATTATATTCCCTATAGAATGCACTACTATATAGAGAATATGGTGCCATTTCGGATGCAGCCTCTTTCTTTCAACGGAATATGCTCAGCTTCTTGTGCTTGTGCATCATATCAAACATATTTTAAGTTACTTTGATGTTGTTTTTGTCTTCTTCATAACCAGCTAAGCTGCTGTTCCAAAGAGATCTGCCCATCTAGTCTTCTTTTCTTTCCCACTCTCATTATTCCTGATGACTTTTCTCTGTTGGGGGGGGTATGGAGCCTTTAAATTTCTGTTATAGGCTGAGGCTCTATTATTCTCCCTCTCTCTTATCTTCTCTCTCTCTATCTCTCTTGACTCTATCTCTCGGCCCGTCTCTCTTCTTCTCTCTCTCTTCTCCTCTCTCTCTCTCTCTCTCTCTCTCTCTCTCTCACACACACACACACACACACACACACACACACACACACACACACACACACACACATCTAACATCTGTAGCAGATGTAGTTGTCCCATAGCATGTGCTTTTGCAGTGTGTTTCTCTTCCCCCTGTCTCCTTCCCTCACATTCTCTCACCCTCCCGTCTCCTATTCCCCAATGTCAAAAGAAAGACACTTACTCAGGCTTATAGTATAGCCTTTGAATGTGTATCAACTTTGAGGCCACCAAATGCTGTTAAGAACACTTGAGAACTGACCAAAACACCACTGTTCCATCTTCAGTTCAGAATAACTGCACTGTAAGACAGTGAGGAGCAAAAGGGACCGACCGCCATGACGCGTCTGACTATCAGCCAACCCAAACACAACGTTGTTTAAATGCCGCAGATAAGGAATGGCTGGGTTCACTCTGATAGCACTGCAGAGATTGGGCTACTTTCCTAATGCTGAAGCCAGCATGGTGATGGAGACTAACTCTCTCAGTGATGGATGCCACAAAGGAAAATAAAAACTATCTTCTGTTATGGGTCATGGGGGGACATACTTCATCCTAGGCAAGATATTTCATTAATTATAGTGATGGTACATTTATCTTTGGGTGCGGCTGTGTGGGGTAGGGCCTGTTACTTTCTCTGATTTAGCTTGCTGTGGGGACCCATTGAGGTCACAGAAAACAGAGGAATGCACATTATGAAAACCCTGGTAAATAAGAGAAATGATTCTCATAGCACAACCTCTTGAATAAACTCAGATGTTCCAGACGTACGTAGCAGAGGCCAGACTAGCCTGCTGGTCCTGCTGTTGAGATTTATTGAAGGCATCAATCAGACAGACTTATGGTATGGAATAAAAAAGAGAAATGGACCTTTAGAGTGAGAGAGTGTGTCATGTTTATGTAGCAAACTAAAGCAAGGGAAACCTCACCACTATTTCACTCTCTTATCGCCAGTGCCTCTGTGATTCCTAGAAATAATGTATTTTTTATTGGGTCTTTAAATCTCAATCTCAAAGAGTCAGAAGGACACAAGTAGTGCACATGCAAGTAAGCCACAACCAGAAAGACTGACAATGAGAATGAATTCCCCTGATAAATAAGTCATTACATTTTAATAGGATTATCTTTTCACTTTTAGGGAGGTAATGTGGAAACTAAATAGTGTAGATACCTTTCAAGAATGAAATACAGTTTCCAGAGACTGCACATTTCATGGACTGAGTTTGTTCAACAGAGAAAAGCATTACAGCAAATTAAAACATTCAACCATAAAAATATCAAAACTGTTTCCAGAAAGTTCCTCTCTTCCTTCCAAAGACCATCTCCTCTCCTCCAGCAAACTCCTCAATTCATGAATATATGACAAATCCCTCTGTTGTTATTGCATGAAAGTGACAATGTACGAGTAGCTCAATCCCACTTCATACATAGAAACCTGTCGTTTACTGAAAGCTATTGGGCCCTGACCCTCACTCTTGCTGGAATGTTTAACTAACAGATGCTCTCGCTCTCTCTCTCTCTCTCTCTCTCTCTCTGGCCAGGTGCATCGTAACACACGTGGCTGTGTCAGCGCTGCACCCGTCACCTGATCTCTCTGAGATTATTACAGTTTTCCTTGAGCTCAGTCTCTCTCTCTCTCTCATCCCACCCCATCCCCTTAAAAAGGATATTCTTGGCCATGCTGGCAATTTTAACCGTTTCTAACTGATTTTGTCGACATATGTCCCCTCTTGTGTAATACATCGTTTTGACTAAATTGAATAAGTAAAATTGAAACTGAATCTATTTGCTCAGGTTTTAACAGTTTGAGTTTCCTTACACATGGAAGCAATATATGTGACATTGAATGTGGCCATTCAGATATCCTCACGGAACAAATTAACCGTTTAGGGTGTCCTTGGTTTCCATAGCACCTTTATTCAATGTCCAACCATTCCTGAGCAAATATTACGTATTTTTATTCATTGTCCGTATACATACAACACTTCCACAGTAACTTCTCATCTCATTGAGTCTCGTAAATACCAAAGAGTATAAAAACACTATGCATGTTCAAGAAAATAACTGACACCAAAAGTAGTTGTCAAAAGCCATTACTCTATCATACTACTGTTATGAACAAAATATCTTGATTGATAATAAACACACATACAAACCCTTAGCTCCCATTAGTCCTGTTCAGATTGTGCTTTGGTCTTTTACAGGATCTCCATTTCATTAGTGATGTCATGATCACAGGTGCACTTTGATGAGATAAATAATGCCAGGGGCCGACTCGGGAATAGTTGGGAATAGTCGGGAATAAACAAGGATGCTTTCCGATCCGGAAGACAAAAGTTAAACTAAGCAATAGCAATACATGCTTTTTCCCCCTCATATACAGACTGCTTTTATAAAAGTGCATGGTAATGAATACATGTAAATATTAGTTGATGTTTAAAGTATTATATTCTCTTTGATCTGAAGCAGTATAAGTTTGTAATGTTGTCTTTCTGCTGTGGCTAACAACAGTTTATCTCCAGGGGGCGGGGTCAGTAACAGCATGAGGAAGGCTGCAGCAGGATGGAGTTGGGTTGCCCTCGACGACAACCTCTTTGTGACCCCCTGTGTTACCACTTGCCAGGGATGGGCACACCGCACTCATACCATCCCACGAAGAGATGTGGCGTACGCCGGCCGATAGGGCCAAAGTTGACTGGCTCCTGCCTGTATGAGCGATAGTAACCTGCACAAGGGCAGACAGGACACGTTGTTATAAAGCATTATGAATGGACGTCCCACAACATTTATAATGCTTCGTTAGATGATTCTGACTGTTTCTATCCAGCCTAGAACATGGATATTGAGGTTGTATATAATCAAGACTCTTGGACTTAATCTGTGAGAATATTTATTTACTGAATACTATGAAGACCATCCTACCAAAGGCTGTAGGCGAGTGATGAATTCTGGGAGTTTGTGTTTATTAAATGCTTTTTTTTACCTTGTGCTGTTGGCAGATGCATTGAGAGGTTGGGGTAGCCTGTCCTCCCGTCTAGGTAAGAGTCTACAAACTGGCAGTGGTCCTCCCCATGGCCGAATGTGTCTGCTATACTGTAGAATGTTTCTGGAGGGCGAGAAAGAGCAGTCAATGCTTAACAACAGAATACACTCTCAAACAATATTATATGATGTAATGAGACAGAGCCTGGTTGGCTACCACAGAGTCCAAAAACAATAAAACAACCAGTATGTAGAAGAGAAAGTGGTAGATAAAGTGTGTGATTAAGAGAAATGTAGTGAAAGTGTGAGAGAATGAGAGAGAGAGAGAGAGAGAGAGAGAGAAGGAAGGGAAAGTGGAAGGGGGAGAGATGGTGGTTAAGAGATTATTAATGGAAAGAGGAATATTAGGAGTAATCGTAAAGCAACTTAAATTGAGAAAAGACTCGAACTGAGAGAGAAAGAAGTATACTGAACAAAAATATAAACGCAACATGCAACAATTTCAAAGATTTTACTGACTTACAGTTCATGTAAGGAAATCAGTCCATTTAAATAAATGCATTAGGCCATAATCTATGGATTTCACATGACTAGGAATACAGATATGCATCTGTTGGTCAGAGATACCTTTAAAAAAAAGCTGGAGGCATGGATCAGAAAACCAGTCAGTATCTGGTGTGACCACAATTTGCGTCATTCAGCGCGACACATCTCCTTCGCATAGAGTTGATCAGGCTGTTGGTTGTGGCCTGTGGAATGTTGTCCTACTCCTCTTTAATGGCTGTGCAATGTTGCTGGATATTGGCAGGAACTGGAACACGCTGACGTACATGTCGATCGAGAGCATTCCAAACATGCTCAATGGGTGACATGTTTAGTGAGTATGCAGGCCATTTTCAGCTTACAGGAATTGTGTACAGATCCTTGCGACATGGGGCCGTGCATTACCATGCTGAAAGATGAGGTGATGGAGGCAGATGAATGGCACGACAATGGGCCTTAGGATCTCGTCACGGTATCTCTGTGCATTCAAATTTGTTTGTTGTCCGTAGCTTATGCCTGACCATACCATAACCCCACCGCCACCATGGGGCACTCTGTTCACAACACTGACATCAGAAAACCACTCGCCCACACAACGCCATACACATGGTCTGCAGTTGTGAGGCCGGTTGGAAGTACTGCCAAATTCTCTAAAACGACGTTGGAGACGGCTTATGGTAGAGAAATTAACATTCAAATATCTGGCAACAGCTCTGGTGGACATTCCTGCAGTCAGCAGGCCACGCTCCCTCAAAAGTTGAGACATCTGTGGCATTGTGTTGTGTGACAAAACTGCACATTTTAGAGTGGCCTTTTATTGTCCTCAGCACAAGGTGCACCTGTGTAATGATCATGCTGTATAATCAGATTCTTGATATGCCACACTGTCAGGTGGATGGATTATCTTGGCAAAGGAGAAATGCTCACTAACAGGGTTGTAAACAAATTTGAGATAAAAAAGCATTTTGTGCATATGGAAAATGTCTGGGATCTTTTATTTCAGCTCATGAAACATGGGACCAACACTTTACATGTTGCGTTTATATTTTTGTTCAGTGTAGATAAAGGAAGAGAGGAGAGGGTGAAGTTACAGCGGTAGTACCTTTCAGCCCATCTCCCATGAAGATCTTGTATCTCAGTGAGTTGCACAGGACCACGCCCACAAACTTTCTGTACCATGTCCTCTTGACGTACTGGCTGCCCTTACACGCACTGTGCTGGGGGTTGTATCGGAAGGAGAAGGGGATCCAGATAGGCTCTCCACCTAGGGAGATAGGCTCTCATTTGGTAAGAGTGTGGCCGTGGTAAGGCCAGGGTCGTGGGTTTGATCCCTGTTGGGGTCACGTATACTAAAATGTATGCATTCACTGTACAGTAAGTCACTGGATAAAAGTGCCAAAAATAAAGGGAACACTTAAACAACACATCCTAGATCTGAATGAATGAAATAATCTTATTAAATACTATTTTCTTTACATAGTTGAATGTGCTGACAACAAAATCACACAAAAATTATCAATGGAAATCAAATGTATCAACCCATGGAGGTCTGGATTTGGAGTCACACTCAAAATTAAAGTGGAAAACCACACTACAGGCTGATCCAACTTTGATGTAATGTCCTTAAAACAAGTCAAAATGAGGCTCAGTAGTGTGTGTGGCCTCCACGTGCCTGTATGACCTCCCTACAACGCCTGGGCATGCTCCTGATGAGGTGGCGGATGGTCTCCTGAGGGATCTCCTCCCAGACCTGGACTAAAACATCCGCCAACTCCTGGACAGTCTGTGGTGCAACGTGGCGTTGGTGGATGGAGCGAGACATGATGTCCCAGATGTGCTCAATTGGATTCAGGTCTGGGGAACTGGCGGGCCAGTCCATAGCATCAATGCCTTTCTCTTGCAGGAACTGCTGACACACTCCAGCCACATGAGGTCTAGCATTGTCTTGCATTAGGAGGAACCCAGGGCCAACCGCACCAGCATATGGTCTCACAAGGTGTCTGAGGATCTCATCTCGGTACCTAATGGCAGTCAGGCTACCTCTGGCGAGCACATGGAGGGCTGTGCGGCCCCCCAAAGAAATGCCACCCAACACCATTACATTTTAGTCATTTAGCAGACGCTCTTATCCAGAGCGACTTACAGTTAGTGAATACATAATTTTTTTTTTATACTGGCCCCCCGTGGGAATCGAACCCACAACCCTGGCATTGCAAATGCCATGCTCTATCAACTGAGCTACATCCCTGCCGGCCATTCCCTCCCCTACCCTGGACGACGCTGGGCCAATTGTGCGCCGCCCATGAGTCTCCTGGTCACAGAGCCTGGATTCTGCGACAGAGCCTGGATTCGAACCAGGATCTCTAGTGGCACAGTTAGCACTGCGATGCAGTGCCTTAGACCACTGCGCCACTCAGGAGTACGCCACTCAGGAGCAGGAGCATAGCTGAATGTGCTACATTTGTTCACACTGAGCACATGTGACAGACGTGACAGAGTCTGGAGATGCCGTGGAGAACGTTCTGCTGCCTGCAACATCCTCCAGCATGACCCCGGTTTGGCGGTGGGTCATGCTGGAGGATGTTGCAGGCAGCAGAACGTTCTCCACGGCGTCTCCAGACTCTGTCACGTCTGTCACATGTGCTCAGTGTGAACCTGCTTTCTTCTGTGAAGAGCACAGGGCGCCAGTGGCGAATTTGCCAATCTTGGTGTTCTCTGGCAAATGCCAAACGTCCTGCACGGTGTTGGGCTGTAAGCACAACCCCCACCTGTGGACGTCGGGCCCTCATACCACCCTCATGGAGTCTGTTTCTGACCGTTTGAGCAGACACATGCACATTTGTGGCCTGCTGGAGGTCATTTTGCAGGGCTCTGGCAGTGCTCCTCCTGCTCCTCCTTGCACAAAGGCGGAGGTAGCGGTCCTGCTGCTGGGTTGTTGCCCTCCTACGGCCTCCTCTACATATCCTGATGTACTGGCCTGTCTCCTGGTAGCGCCTCCATGCTCTGGACACTACGCTGACAGACACAGCAAACCTTCTTGCCACATTGATGTGCCATCCTGGACGAGCTGCACTACCTGAGCCACTTGTGTGGGTTGTAGACTCCGTCTCATGCTACCACTAGAGTGAAAGCACCGCCAGCATTCAAAAGTGACCAAAACATCAGCCAGGAACCATAGGAACTGAGAAGTGGTCTGTGGTCACCACCTGCAGAACCACTTCTTTATTGGGGGTGTCTTGCTAATTGCCTATAATTTCCACCTGTTGTCTATTCCATTTGCACAACAGCATGTGAAATGTATTGTCAATCAGTGTTGCTTCCTAAGTGGACAGTTTGATTTCACAGAAGTGTGATTGACTTACATTGTGTTGTTTAAGTGTTCCCTTTATTTTTTTGAGCAGTGTATTACATAACTACAAAACTGTTGAGGAGAAAGGTTAAGCTTTCAGCATGTCTTTAATGACAGTCCCTCTATCGAACAGAGTCCTTGACAATGCTACACTCACTAAGCTAGTCATTAATACCTACACTCAACCTGTCAGTTCTCACAAAGCTAGTCATGACTAACTACACTAAACTCCATTACAACCCCTTTACTGCCAGTTTGCACTATGCCAGTCTCTCCTATTCAGATACACAGTAAATCACCTCCACTCATTGTGCATAGCACCTGGGAAATACCTGACTGACTCTCTTAATTAAAAACAATAAATATATAAGCTGGAAGTAGAGGCCTAAGCATTGTTGTTCACTAGTTTACTCCAATTAGGGAAGGGGTGGTGGGGTTGGAAAGTAATAAAGGGAAATATATATTTTGAAAGGATATGTACAGTGGGGAAAAAAAGTATTTAGTCAGCCACCAATTGTGCAAGTTCTCCCACTTAAAAAGATGAGAGAGGCCTGTAATTTTCATCATAGGTACACGTCAACTATGACAGACAAAATGAGAAAAAAAAATCCAGAAAATCACATTGTAGGATTTTTAATGAATTTATTTGCAAATTATGGTGGAAAATAAGTATTTGGTCAATAACAAAAGTTTCTCAATACTTTGTTATATACCCTTTGTTGGCAATGACACAGGTCAAACATTTTCTGTAAGTCTTCACAAGGTTTTCACACACTGTTGCTGGTATTTTGGCCCATTCCTGCATACAGATCTCCTCTAGAGCAGTGATGTTTTGGGGCTGTCGCTGGGCAACACGGACTTTCAACTCCCTCCAAAGATTTTCTATGGGGTTGAGATCTGGAGACTGGCTAGGCCACTCCAGGACCTTGAAATGCTTCTTACGAAGCCACTCCTTCGTTGCCCGGGCGGTGTGTTTGGGATCATTGTCAAGCTGAAAGACCCAGCCACGTTTCATCTTCAATGCCCTTGCTGATGGAAGGAGGTTTTCACTCAAAATCTCACGATACATGGCCCCATTAATTATTTCCTTTACACGGATCAGTCGTCCTGGTCCCTTTGCAGAAAAACAGCCCCAAAGCATGATGTTTCCACCCCCATGCTTCACAGTAGGTATGGTGTTCTTTGGATGCAACTCAGCATTCTTTGTCCTCCAAACACGACGAGTTGAGTTTTTACCAAAAAGTTATACTTTGGTTTCATCTGACCATATGACATTCTCCCAATCCTCTTCTGGATCATCCAAATTCACTCTAGCAAACTTCAGACGGGCCTGGACATGTACTGGCTTAAGCAGGGGGACACGTCTGGCACTGCAGGATTTGAGTCCCTGGCGGCGTAGTGTGTTACTGATGGTAGGCGTTTGTTACTTTGGTCCCAGCTCTCTGCAGGTCATTCACTAGGTCCCCCCGTGTGGTTCTGGGATTTTTGCTCACCGTTCTTGTGATCATTTTGACCCCACGGGGTGAGATCTTGCGTGGAGCCCCAGATCGAGGGAGATTATCAGTGGTCTTGTATGTCTTCCATTTCCTAATAATTGCTCCCACAGTTGATTTCTTCAAACCAAGCTGCTTACCTATTACAGATGCAGTCTTCCCAGCCTGGTGCAGGTCTACAATTGTGTTTCTGGTGTCCTTTGACAGCTCTTTGGTCTTGGCCATAGTGGAGTTTGGAGTGTGACTGTTTGAGGTTGTGGACAGGTGTCTTTTATACTGATAACAATTTCAAACAGGTGCCATTAATACAGGTAACGAGTGGAGAACAGAGGAGCCTCTTAAAGAAGAAGTTACAGGTCTGTGAGAGCCAGAAATCTTGCTTGTTTGTAGGTGACCAAATACTTATTTTCCAACATAATTTGCAAATAAATTCATTCAAAATCCTACAATGTGATTTTCTGGAATTTTTTTTCTCAATTTGTCTGTCATAGTTGATGTGTACCTATGATGGAAAAGTACAGGCCTCTCTCATCTTTTTAAGTGGGAGAACTTGCACAATTGGTGGCTGACTAAATACTTTTTTTCCCCACTGTATGTATATGTATTTATATTTATATATGTGTATATGTACAGTGAGGGAAAAAAGTATTTGATCCCCTGCTGATTTTGTACGTTTGCCCACTGACAAAGACATGATCAGTCTATAATTTTAATGGTAGGTTTATTTGAACAGTGAGAGACAGAATAACAACAAAAGAATCCAGAAAAATGCATGTCAAAAATGTTATAAATTGATTTGCATTTTAATGAGGGAAATAAGTATTTGACCCCTCTGCAAAACATGATTTAGTACTTGGTGGCAAAACCCTTGTTGGCAATCACAGAGGTCAGACGTTTCTTGTAGTTGGCCACCAGGTTTGCACACATCTCAGGAGGGATTTTGTCCCACTCCTCTTTGCAGATCTTCTCCAAGTCATTAAGGTTTCGAGGCTAACGTTTGGCAACTCGAACTTTCAGCTCCCTCCACAGATTTTTTATGGGATTAAGGTCTGGAGACTGGCTAGGCCACTCCAGGACCTTAATGTGCTTCTTCTTGAGCCACTCCTTTGTTGCCTTGGCTGTGTGTTTTGGGTCATTGTCATGCTGGAATACCCATCCACAACCCATTTTCAATGCCCTGGCTGAGGGAAGGAGGTTCTCACCCAAGATTTCACGGTACATGGCCCCGTCCATCGTCCTTTTGATGCGGTGAAGTTGTCCTGTCCCCTTAGCAGAAAAACACCCCCAATGCATAACGTTTCCACCTCCATGTTTGATGGTGGGGATGGTGTTCTTGGGGTCATAGGCAGCATTCTTCCTCCTCCAAACACAGCGAGTTGAGTTGATGCCAAAGAGCTCGATTTTGGTCTCATCTGACCACAACACTTTCACCCAGTTCTCCTCTGAATCATTCAGATGTTCATTGGCAAACTTCAGACGGCCCTGTATATGTGCTTTCTTGAGCAGGGGGACCTTGCGGGCGCTGCAGGATTTCAGAGTTTCACGGCGTAGTGTGTTACCAATTGTTTTCTTGGTGACTATGGTCCCAGCTGCCTTGAGATCATTGACAAGATCCTCCCGTGTAGTTCTGGGCTGATTCCTCACCGTTCTCATGATCATTGAACTCCACGAGTTGAGATCTTGCATGGAGCCCCAGGCCGAGGGAGATTGACAGTTATTTTGTGTTTCTTCCATTTGCGAATAATCGCACCAACTGTTGTCACCTTCTCACCAAGCTGCTTGGCGATGATCTTGTAGCCCATTCCAGCCTTGTGTAGGTCTACAATCTTGTCCCTGATATCCTTGGAGAGCTCTTTGGTCTTGGCCATGGTGGAGAGTTTGGAATCTGATTAATTGATTGCTTCTGTGGACAGGTGTCTTTTATACAGGTAACAAGCGGAGATTAGGAGCACTCCCTTTAAGAGTGTGCTCCTAATCTCAGCTCGTTACCTGTATAAAAGACACCTGGGAGCCAGAAATCTTTCTGATTGAGAGGGGGTCAAATACTTATTTCCCTCATTAAAATGCAAATCAATTTATAACATTTTTGACATGCATTTTTCTGGATTTCTTTATTGTTATTCTGTCTCTCACTGTTCAAATAAACCTACCATTAAAATTATAGACTGATCATTTCTTTGTCAGTGGGCAAGCATACAAAATCAGCAGGGGATCAAATACTTTTTTCCCTCACTGTATGTGTATATATACATACAGTTGAAGTCGGAGGTTTACATACACTTAGGTTGCAATCATTAAAACTTGTTTTTCAACCACTCCACACATTTCTTGTTAACAAACTATGGTTTTGGCAAGTCGGTTAGGACATCTACTTTGTGCATGACACAAGTATTTTTCCAACAATTGTTTACAGACAGATTATTTCACTTATAATTCACTGTATCACAATTCCAGTGTGTCTGAAGTTTACATACAGTAAGTTCACTGTGCCTTTAAACAGCTTGGAAAATTCCAGAAAATGATGTCATGGCTTTAGAAGCTTCTGATAGGCTAATTGACATCATTTGAGTCAATTGAAACAAAAATAGAACTGTTTGGCCATAATGACCATTGTTATGTTTGGAGGAAAAAGGGGGTCTTTGCAAGCCGAAGAACTCCATCCCAACCGTGAAGCACGGGGGTGGCAGCATCATGCTGTGGGGGTGCTTTGCTGCAGGAGGGACTGGTGCACTACACAAAATAAATGGCATCATGAGGAAGGAAAATAATGTGGATATATTGAAGCAACATCTCAAGACATCAGTCAGGAAGTTAAAGCTTGGTCGCAAATGGGTCTTCCAAATGGACAATGACCCCAAGCATACTTCCAAAGTTGTGGCAAAATAGCTTAAGGACAACAAAGTCAAGCTTGTGGAAGGCTACCCGAAACATTTGACCCAAGTTAAACAATTTAAAGGCAATGCTACCAAATACTAATTGAGTGTATGTAAACTTCTGACCCACTGGGAATGTGATAAACAAAATAAAAGCTGAAATAAATCATTCTCTCTACTATTATTCTGACATTTCACATTCTTAAAATAAAGTGGTGATCCTAACTGACCTAAGACAGGGAATTTCTACTAGGATTAAATGTCAGGAATTGTGAAAAACTGAGTTTAAATGTATTTGGCTAAGGTGTATGTACATTTCCGACTTCAACTGTATATGCGAGAAAAAAAACGTGGGGGATTGGAAGTGATGCAGACAATTACATTGATGGAAGTTACAATCTATCTGCAATATTAAAGCTGATCTACCCCCTAAAACAAAATACTATAAATACCAAAACTATACTTTGGCATCGTTTTATCACTATGGATGTCTGCCAAGTCCAGTATATGTCAGTGTAGGTGTATGCAGCCGTTCGTATGTCTGTCCACAGATTGAACTCCTCACCAGCTCACTCCAGCTGTCACTTTGGGTTTCTTCAAATGACCTGAAGCAATGGTCTGGACTAGAGTATAAGCCAACAAGTTTCATCAATAATGTTAGCGTAATATATGAGAACTATCGATGTTACTCACCAGGAGGTCGTTCAATAAGAAGAGGGTCATCTGAAAAAGAGAAAGAACTTGTTAAAATGAGAGACATGAACTGGGACAGAATTTATACATAAACTAAAAACGGGAGGATACAGACAAATAAGGTAGACGTGGCCTTAGCACAGGCACAAAGCAAAACTGACCCTAGCAATCTCACCTAATACTCATACAGACCTGACTCAGTGACATAGGTGAATGTATCGCTGACTGGTCCCAGCCCAAAGACATTCTTGGCCTGGACTTTGAAGTAGTACCTGAGGTAAAACAAACCAAGACAAAACAGGGTGTGTGTGTAAGATATAGCCATTATTATAGGTGTTAAAGAGTCATTTAGCCAGGTCTCTGTTGCCACATGGAAGGTGTTTATACCCTAATGACTAGAGTAGATGGCCGGAAGGGAGGCAGCACTTGACTCCTGCACCGTCAGAGAGGAGAGAGGGAGGTAGAATTAAGAGAAGACTGTTTTTATGTTCTTAGTAATCTAAAGAGAGCAGAATGCAGTAAAATGGTAATATGGCACGTGTTGAAGAGGGATAAAGGGAGTGAGGGTGGGAGGGAAAGAGGGAGAGAGCGAGAGAGAGCAAGAAAGAGGGAGTAGATAGAAAGAGGGGGAGAGAGGGAGGAAGAGAAATAACGTCCTTAAGGCAGCAATTTCACATCGACAGCTTTTCTATATGACAACGTTCCTCCTGACTGACTGAGCTCTGCCCCTACAAAAAACGACATGTCAAATTTGCAGTTTCACATTTGAAAATCGTTTTTTTTTTTTTTTTTTTTTTTTTTTTTACATGTGATTCATTTTCACTTGCAATTCCACAGGTGAAAGTGAAAATAAAATTAGCAGTTTCACATGTAAGAAAACTTCACGTGAAAATCTCACTTTCACATGTGGAATTGCAAGTTCACATGTGGGGTTGAAATAATGTTCTAAAATTATGTTAACATGTTGCAGTAGCAATGTTTCCACCGGTGGAATTAAAAGTGACCACAAATAAAAGGCCCAAATGCGGGACCAGGAAACGATTTTGCGGGACATTTGCAGAAGTGTGGGCAGCTTACATTTTTGGGGGACCTTCATATAGTTCTGCTGTATGAAGGTCACTGCCTGTTAAAGGGGCAATTCTTAGTTGCTACATCCATTTTTGGATTTATAAATGTACTGTATATGTACCCATTGATTCTTGAAGAATATAACGTATTTTGTCTAATGAGTTTAGTTCAACTGTCACACCCCATCAGAACCCAAAATAGAATCTTGTTTTACTGCAATGTTTGTAAACAAAGTAAATGTAAACAACCTAAAAACATGGTTAAACCTATAATTTTTATATCATGGATGGTCAGTCCTTAGCATAGACAATGGATTTGAGAGTGGTTGCATTTCTCCAGCCCCATCCCTCAGCTTTTTACTGAAACTTTGGTGAGGAGAACACTTTATTCATGTTTCAATTAAGGATTGCCGCTTTAAACACAAATGGAGTAATAGTGTTATTATATGGTGCAATCCTCTAGCGAGTGAGTTACTTTTGTGCCATTAATATCAAGCAAAACTTCTGAAGTTGAGAATGATATTGTTAGCAAAACAACATATTTCGAGGAAACATTTTGAAATGTAAGAACAAATTAATTGTAAATGGATGCAAAAAAAACATTTTCAGATAAATAAAAAAAGTATGATAATGCAATTAAATTAAACACCTCCCTCTTTCCTGCAATTTTTCCTATATTTGGATATGTTACCCTGGCCTTTGCTTTCACTGCCTTTTTCCCATTTGCAAGTTTTGGCGCATTCATTCCAGCAACATGGCATCCTGCATCCCACTGCTGATTTGCCTCTGAAGCTAAGCACGGTCGGTCCTGGTTGGTCCCTGGATGGGAGACCAGATGTAGCTGGAAATGGTGAATATAAACATGTGGGAAAAAAATACAAATTCACATGATTTGTCCCCACGTGTTCCCACGTGTCCGAAAACCATGTGTTTTTCTTTAAATGTATATTTTTTTGTAAGGGTGAGCTCACTTCACTTTAGTCTCAGTGTGTTTTAAATACATACTGTACAGGGGAGGAATTATTTAATCCCCTCAGATTCAAAACAACACTGTGAGACAAGGCTCGGAGGGTTTGCAACCTTTTCCATACCATGGACAATGTGTGTCTGTGTGTGTGTGTGTTCTCCCCCCGCTGTAGGGTTACATACAGTAATTTCACGGTCCGCTAATTTCCACCCAAACCCTTTAACGACATAAAGTCTGCCAGTCTGGATCCAATCACTGGAGCCATGTGGAAACTGACCAAGATATCAGAAAATAAACGAGAAAAGGAGGCAGAAAAAGAGAAAATCATGGAGAGAGGCAGAGAGAGAGAGAGGCAGAGAGAGAGAGAGAGAGAGAGAGAGAGAGAGAGAGAGACAGAGAAGTTCTCATATACATTTTCTTTTTATACCTTGATTTCAGATCTTGACTTAAAGGAATAATTCACTCAAAAACAATCCTTTGGTATATTTTTCAAGATATAGGACTTTCCAAAAGCACATTTTAACTTGCCACCACAGGAGGTTGGTGGCACCTTAATTGGGGAGGACGGGCATGTGGTAACAAGCCCGTGTAGCTCAGTTGGTAGAGCATGGCGTTTGCAACACCAGGGTTGTGGGTTCGATTCCCACGGGGGGCCAGTATGAAAAATGTATGCACTCACTAACTGTATGTCGCTCTGGATAAGAGCGTCTGCTAAATAACTAAAATGTAATGGCTGGAGCGGAATAGGTGGAATGGTATCAAACACATGGTTTCCATTCCATTATGAGTTATCCTCCCCTTATTAGCTTCCCACATCATCATTTGATGCGTTATGCATCATGATGATGATGTGGCAAGTTACAATTTGCTTTTTGAAAGTCCTATATCTTTAAAACTTGATCGCTGACATGCAAAACGTTTTTGGGACCGTATCAACAGTGGACTAATGAAAAAAATACCAAAAGATAGTTTTTGAGTGAATTATGCCTTTAAGTAACTAAAACGTAGTTCTGATGTAAAACCGAAGCATATCTCAGTCATCATGTAGGAGATTTATGCCTTTCAGTCATTTAGTGAGCAGCATTCTTCATCCTGGGCTTATTAAGGAGACAGCTGTCTAGGAGGTGTAGGATTGGTGCATTGGTATATATGTGTGTGTGTGTGTGTGTGTGTGCGTGTGCGTGTGTGTGCGTGTGCGCGTGTATGCACGCGTGGGTGTGTGTCTACGTGGAGACGTGGGGTAGTGTTGCTGCAGTGCAGAGAGACTGAAATGTATGTCTTTAGATGGAACCTTACAGACAGCCACTTCCAAGCAGCTTAGCCCCTCAGACAGCCTGGCTCAGGTGAACCTTTCATGAACAATTATAAACTGTCAATCACTCTACCCACTTTTTGTCCACAACGTTTTTACTCATTAATGTGCACACACAGACACATACACACACAAACCACAGGTCAAGAGCAAATGCATGCACAGTTATGCATGCATTCTACATTCCAAAGTTATGAATTTAGGAACATCTGCCTGTGCGTGTGTGTGTCCGCAGTGATAGTGGATGAGCGTTTGAGTGAGCTGTGTGTGATGTTCGTGGGACAGTTCATCAAGTGTGAGAGTGTGTGTGTGTGTGACAGAAACAAAGCGTGCTGTGTAGGCCTACATGTGTCTGCATGTGCATGGCTAACACCTGAGCGTGAACCGTTGGCTCAGGTCTGAATTGTTGGCTTGGAGCTGTGTGTGTATATATAAATGTGTGTTAGTGCAGGTGTGTGGGGCGGGGTAACGAACGTGTGGGTGAGCTCTATAGAAAAGGGGATTGGGGAGAGAGAGCCGAGAGAGAGGAGAGAGAGGAGAGATAGGGAGAGAGAGAGAGAGAGAGAGAGAGAGAGAAAGAGTCTACAAGTCGGGAGAGAGAGATATAGGGGCCGGCGATAGGGCTCTTCTCTCTCTCTCTCTGAACTATACTTCTCTCTCTCTCTCTCTCTCTCTTTGGGTTGTGTGTGTTTTCTACCTCTCTGTGGAGATGAGTGAGTGAGAGCGAGAGGTAGAGAGAGTGTGATTTATTTGGACTGGCTAATCACGAAAGGTCAGCAGTTCAAGCACAGTGTGGGCTGCTCACTCCATGAGCACACAGTCGAGCTACCCAAGAACCCAATAACACCCTAACGTTGTTATCTCCAAAATGTTAAAATTGCGCAGAGCAAAATTTTAATTTTGACCCAGAAACAAACAGTTTATTTTGCATAATTTTGTATACATAACCTCTTCATATTCCATTTGATAGAAAATAGCCTAAATACATAATTGGAGAGAAAATAGCCTAAAGTCATAACAGCCTCCCTGAGTTTGCATGTTAAGAGATGTTTCCACACGCTTGTTTAGAAAGCTGCAACCCGTGACCCATAAGACATGGTTTCGGGAACACACCCCTACATCATAACAGTGCCTTATGTGTTGTGTGTGTGTGTGTTGGCAGTGATGTCTGCTGTATTTACGTTTCTGTGTGTTTCCTGCTTCTCGGTGGATTATCTCAGCCCGTCATGTTTTCAGGATGATTTAAACGTGTTTTCAAACCTGCCTATATCCAGTTAGCTCTGATTTACATCACTCTGAGGGCTTCTTAATAACTTACTGTATATAAGCATTACAATACCACGCTCTGCTGGTCTCTGACTGGGGCTGATATAACACACACAGAGACAGATACAGTGTACACATCTTATGTGTCTAGCATCACTGAGACCTACCGGGAACAATTATCATATAAACACACATTCCAATACCCTATAGGTAGGCCCATAGAATTGCCAAAGACTCCAGCCACCCAAGCCATAGACTGTTCACTCTGCTACCGTCCGGCAAACGGTACTGGAGCATTGGCTCTCGGACCAACAGGCTCCGAGACAGCTTCTACCCCCAAACCATTAGACTGATAAATAGCCAGACTACTAAATAGTCAATTAATGGTACCTGAACTATCTGTACTGACTCTATCTTGCACTGACCCTACGCACACACACTTTATATACACATCATATACACACTCATTCACACACACTACACTGTCACTCCCACACAAAACCCTCACACATTCACTAACACTACAAACGCACACACATAATACAAACACCAATGGCGGTCGTGTCGTTTAAGATGAGGGAGGACAATTCTTTTTTTTATGAGCATGGCCTTATTTCTATTACAGCAAATTGGATGACTGTCATTCATATTCCATTCACCCAGTTCAATGTAACATTGATACGTTTAGGCTACTACACATGATACTCAAACTTTCCCTATACCCATCATGAGGTTGCTACAACCTAGCCTATGAATGGAAGTTTACAACGTAGGTGCACAGATGAAGAGAACAATTTGAGTAATCAAGGTGACAGACAGTGACACATTTAATACCGCCTTGCACACTCTTGCCTGCATCTAGCTGATCTAGGGTGTAATCATTAGTCCAACAGTTGCAAATGAGAGTTTCTATTGGACAAATTCAGGTATGTTTATCCTCGTTTCGTTCTGTTTGTGATATAACGTATTGTCATAGTGTTGTGGGAAAAAAGTTAAATCTGTTAGATAGGTAACTCTTGGTGCCACAGAGTCTGAATGCCAAGGATTCCAGTATGTCGAGGGAGCTTACTGGGGTTTATCTTAGAAAATGTATGCACTCACTGGATAAGAGCGTCTGCTAAATGACTAAAATGTAAATGTAAATGATTGATAGATGGAATATACTGACTTGGGTACAAGCTGGTACCATCAGAGTGGGGAGTGCCCACTGATGGTTACCAGATGTTGTTGAAGAAACGGTAACATGAAATATATAAACTGAGAGATTTCCTTTGCCCAGAGTTCGGATGACAAGACGAGAAGCACGTGCCGTTTGTTATACGAACCCAGTACTGTAATCAAATAAATACTTTGCATTAACTCTCCATATAATTGTTTAAGTATATTCTTGCATCCTGAATTACTTGATACCAGAGAAACTCATCATAACAGTTTGCTTCCGTTTAAGAAACATTTTTCAACAGAACCCGTGGAATGAATACACCCCTGATCACACGCAAACACAGTTCACTTTCATAGCAGTCACATAGAAACAGCATGATCACTTTGCTCTTTGTATAATTCCTTCTCGCATCTATGTGCTCTCCTCTTTTCACCTGCAGTACAGTCAACAAGCAGTTTAGCAGTGGGCCCTGGTGGCAATAAATTAATAAAACCAAAAGCTTACCTTGACTTGGAACAGTTCCAGTGTTGGATAGCAATAGCCAGCCAGCTAACATAGCATCATCCATCTCTGTTTGAGCAGGTTTTTGAGTAGGCTAAACTAGCTAGCTGCATTCGCTAGCTAAGTAAGTGACAGTGAAAGTGAATACAAAAATACAATGAAATATAGCTAACTCTCTTGCTTCTCCTTCATTTTTGAATAAATTAATTTGTTCAAAACTGTTCAACTATTGTCTCCCTCTCTCTGAGTGAACTACTCACCACATTTTATACACTGCAGTGCTAGCTAGCTGTAGCTTATGCGTTCAGTACTACATCCATTCTCTGATCCTTTGATTGGGTGGACAACATGTCAGTTCATGCTGCAAGAGCTCTGATAGGTTGGAGGACGTCCTCCGGAAGTTGTAATAATTACTGTGTAAGTCTATGGAAGGGGGTGAGAACCAAGAGCCTCTTAGGTTTTGTATTGAAGTCAATGTACCCAGAGGAGGACGAAAACTAGCTGTCCTCCGGCTACACCATAGTGCTACCCTACAGAGTGCTGTTGAGGCTACTGTAGACCTTCATTGCAAAAACGTATGTTTTAACCAATTATTTGGTGACGTGAATATATTTAGTATAGTTTTATCTAAAAAGGATAACTTTTTTTATGTTTCACTATTTTTTTTTCCAGAAATTCACTGAGGAGGATGGTCCTCCCCTTCCTCCTTTGAGGAGCCTCCGCTGACATACACGCATACCGACACGACACAAACACAAATACATACACACACGCACACTCTCACACACACTTCTACACTCATCTTTTGCTGCTGCTACTCTGTTCTTTATTTTACTCTAATTATTATCTATCCAGATGCCTAGACACATTACCCTGCCTTCATGTACATAACTACCTCAAGTACCTCGCATCTCTGCACATTGATCTGGTACTAGTACTCCCTGTATATACTGTAGCTCCATTCTTGTGTATTTAATTTTATTCATCTTGTGTTAGTTACTATTTTATTTTGTATTATTATTTTTAAATGCTGCATCATTGGGAAAGATTCATAAGCAAGTATTTCACTGTAAAGTCTACACAAGCTGTATTCGGCGCATGTGATAAATACAATTTGATTTGATTTATAGTTATAAATACTTACACACAGACACAAATACGCAGCCAAACACCTCCACAGACTGCACACACATGGGTAAAGAATCTATGAGCCGTAACATCTCGCAAATCCTTTGTTTGTATAACCAGCCCATTGTGTAAGACATTAAACACTCTCACACACACAGAGAGTATATTCTCACCTGGAGTTAGGCTTGAGGTTTTCTATAGCCAGGTGTGAGCCGCTGGATGCGCTGGAGGACCACCTGTTGTTGAGGACGTCATCGTATGAGGCGCTGTGGACCATGTAGCCTGCAGGGCTCACACACAGGGCACGGGTCAGGGGCCAAAGGTCACCAGAGGTTAGAGAGCATTGATCCATTTTGAAGTTTGAGAAGGAGAAAAAAATGTAGCCATGTTGGTTTTGATGGGTAGCCAAAAGTAAGGGTGGTCTGATGTTAGAGAGGAAATATTTCATTTGAGAGGAGAGTGATTGGAGGCAGAAGAACGATCCTAACTCATTTGAGGTATCAGTGGTTTTAAACTAGAAACAGCCGCGGTAAATCACATTGTGGATCTGCCAACAACTACACATACCGAGCCAATCTGTTTCTCTGTTTCTCACCTCTTGTTTTGCCTCTCCTCTCACACACACACACAGAAGGGTAATCCTCCATAAAACCACAGGCCAGTACGTGAGTCCTGAGGTCATGGAATGCTCAGATCATGCTACTCAGCCAGTGGAAACTCTACGAGTACGGCGCTCCCCGCCACATCTAGCTCATATGTGTTCATATTTTTGCTGGAGCCTGGCCAACACAGCTGGCTCAAGGTGGAGGGGAGAAGGAGGAGGAGGGAACCACTACCACAGACACCACTCTTTCTCTCTGATTGTGTGGTTCCCTCTTGCTCTCCCTCTCTTTCATTTCTCTCTCTCACTATATTTTGTAATCAGAAGTGTGAAAACAGAAGCACTATTGCAGCCTGCCACTCACTTCTCCTTCTCCTCACTCTTTCATTCTCTCTCACCTCTGCTGCCTCTCACCTGCTCTTTCTTTCCTCTTTCCTTTGCTAATCTTTCTGACAACTCAGCCCATACAGGAATTGTTTTTAAATAAAAATATATATTAGATACAGTTTTTAGGATAAATTGGCCAAATAATGTGTAATTGTAAAACATTTTTGGGGCACTAAACTACTTCCATATATACTTCCATAAATTTTTTTTTACTGGTACCGGGCTACCTTCAGTATTGAGTATTGTAAAGCTTGTGGGCGTCCTAGAGCAAAACAACAGACATGTACAGTACGTGTCCGTGAGAGTCTCCCCTCTGTAAAGGGTAATATTAGTGTGTAGTCCAAACTGTTCGGACACTACAGACAGAAGTTGGTAGATTGGCGGCACCGACTTCAGACGTCTGTCCCTCATTTTACTAAGGTCAACCCTGTTACGTGAACTGAACTCTCGTTTTAATATGGTGAAACTACAGTGGGGAGAACAAGTATTTGATACACTGCCGATTTTGCAGGTTTTCCTACTTACAAAGCATGTAGAGATCTGTAATTTTTATCATAGGTACACTTCAACTGTGAGAGACGGAATCTAAAACAAAAATCCAGAAAATCACATTGTATGATTTTTAAGTAATTAATTTGCATTTATTGCATGACATAAGTATTTGATACATCAGAAAAGCAGAACTTAATATTTGGTACAGAAACCTTTGTTTGCAATTACAGAGATCATAAGTTTCCTGTAGGTCTTGACCAGGTTTGCACACACTGCAGCAGGGATTTTGGCCCACTCCTCTATACAGACCTTCTCCAGATCCTTCAGGTTTCGGGGCTGTCGCTGGGCAATACGGACTTTCAGCTCCCTCCAAAGATTTTTCGTTTGGGTTCAGGTCTGGAGACTGGCTAGGCCACTCCAGGACCTTGAGATGCTTCTTACGGAGCCACTCCTTAGTTGCCCTGGCTGTGTGTTTCGGGTCGTTGTCATGCTGGAAGACCCAGCCACGACCCATCTTCAATGCTCTTACTCAGGGAAGGAGGTTGTTTGCCAAGATCTTGCGATACATGGCCCCATCCATCCTCCCCTCAATACGGTGCAGTCGTCCTGTCCCCTTTGCAGAAAAGCATCCCCAAAGAATGATGTTTCCACCTCCATGCTTCACGGTTGGGATGGTGTTCTTGGGGTTGTACTCATCCTTCTTCTTCCTCCAAACATGGCGAGTGGAGTTTAGACCAAAAAGCTCTATTTTTGTCTCATCAGACCACATGACCTTCTCCCATTCCTCCTCTGGATCATCCAGATGGTCATTGGCAAACTTCAGACGAGCCTGGACATGCGCTGGCTTGAGCAGGGGGACCTTGCGTGTGCTGCAGGATTTTAATCCATGACGGCGTAGTGTGTTACTAATGGTTTTCTTTGAGACTGGGGTCCCAGCTCTCTTCAGGTCATTGACCAAGTCCTGCCGTGTAGTTCTGGGCTGATCCCTCACCTTCCTCATGATCATTGATGCCCCACGAGGTGAGATCTTGCATGGAGCCCCAGACCGAGGGTGATTGACCGTCATCTTGAACTTCTTCCATTTCCTAATAATTGCACCAACAGTTGTTGCCTTCTCACCAAGCTGCTTGCCTATTGTCCTGTAGCCCATCCCAGCCTTGTGCAGGTCTACAATTTTCATCCCTGATGTCCTTACACAGCTCTCTGGTCTTGGCCATTGTGGAGAGGTTGGATTCTGTTTGATTGAGTGTGTGGACAGGTGTCTTTTATACAGGTAACGAGTTCAAACAGGTGCAGTTAATACAGGTAATGAGTGGAGAACAGGAGGGCTTCTTAAAGAAAAACGAACAGGTCTGTGAGAGCCGGAATTCTTACTGGTTGGTAGGTGATCAAATACTTATGTCATGCAATACAATGCAAATGAATTACTTAAAAATCATACAATGTGATTTTCTGGATTTTTAGATTCAGTCTCTCACAGTTGAAGTGTACCTATGATAAAAATTACAGACCTCTACATGCTTTGTAAGTAGGAAAACCGTAGGTGAGCTGGTTCTACTCTTTTTGGCATTTTGTGGTGAAAAACTGAGTGGGTTGAGCATAACACGTCAACCCTGTTACCCATAGATAGATAGGCTAGCAATGTTTAAACAATTTAGATTTTATTTTAAATCTTACATTCAATTGCCCCTCCCTGTTGCACACAACAAGCTTCTATTCCCCCTGTCACAAGGGGATTCATAGCCGATTTAACTAGTAATTACCGTTCAAGTGGATTTTTCACAGATTGATAAATTCCCACTTCCCACTTGGTTACGAACACACCATAACACCACTAACCAAACACTGTAGAGCCATATAACACAACTCATTGGAAGTGCAAAGCCCATACCTACACGTTGACATATTATGGAGCATTGTACAAGGTATAGTTTGTTCAAATCGATAACAACGACAATAAACAACAATTTATTACTTTTTTGCCTAGTGCCCGGTTTTCTTTCATTATTTAACTAAGCTGAAAAGAGTTACTAGTCACTTACTTTTTATTAAAGAGGGGAAAACTAGTTTTTTATAAAGTTGAAGATGTGCTCTTTATGACAGAATGTAAAAATTAGGTGAAATCAAACAGATTTGTTTTATTGACCATCACAATTTAAATTACGTATATCACTGACAAAGTTTTGGCTTGGTGGCCCCAAAAATTATCTCCATTGATCAATACGTAAAGAGTAATTTAAGAAGCCTAATTAGGAACCACTTTTGCCACCCTGTAGACTAGATGTCATAGTCATGCATTTCTGGAATGTTGTCAGACATTTCAGTACATGCATTTGAGCAAATGTATCTCTAGAATACATTTTAAGACATTGCATGCATTTTAGCAAAGATTTTAAATACAGTATATTGAAATGTATTTTTTTTCATATGGGATGGACATCTGCAGAATATGCTAACAAATAGCGCAGTGATTATGCTAAATAGGAAATGACACCAACCAACATGAATCACAGACAAGAGAAGAGGAGAGGGGGATAAGTATCACAAATGGCAACATATCTGGAAAATCACATGAGAGAAAAAGAGGGAAATGGGAAAGCAAGTGTTAGGGGGGTGGGAAAATGGAGAGATGGAGAGAGAATAAGATGCAGGAGAGTGAGAGAGAGAGAGAGAGAGAGAGAGAGAGAGAGAGAGAGAGAGAGAGAGAGAGAGAGAGAGAGAGAGAGAGAGAGAGAGAGAGAGAGAGAGAGAGAGAGAGAGAGAGAGAGAGAGAGAGAGAGAGACTGCACAGACTGTGATATCGAAATACTGGGGAAGAGAGATTGACAGAGAGAGAAAGTGGTGCGGGTCTGCGATACTATATGGTTTAGACATCAGAGAATGGCCCAGCCCACTCCAGGACAAGGAACTTCTGTTGGCCAGCCAAAGACAACACACAGCTTCTCTCTGGAAGACTGAACCCCTGTCTCTGACTGAAGCACTGTCCACAAGTCACACTCACTATACACTGGATCCCTCGATCTCCCTCTAGATATGAATCTCCCTGTCATAGACCCCATGGGCTGGGGCTGGGGAGGGGTCAAATATAGCTTTACAGTACTCAAAACTCAGTTATTGATGTCTAAAACATTGGGGGTCGGGTGACTCCCTAAAATTATAACTAGCAGCTGACTAGTACATCAACAACCAGTTAGATTATGTCTGCTGACCTGCTATGATCCTTTGAAAAGTATAAGAAATGGGTCAGGAAAGAAAAGTTGAAGTCAGACATAGGCTGCATTTTCACAGGCATCCAATTACTGATATTTTTTCCACTAAGTTGTCTTTTGATCAATCACATCAGATATTTTCCCATCAGATCTTTTTCAGAGCTGATCTGATTGGTCAAAATACCAATTACTGAAAGAAAGATCAGAATAAATGCAGTATAAGTGCACACTAACTGCTTGAAGCACTGACAGAATACTTTTCACACATCTCACATTTTATCTACAGTACACCCCGCTATGTGGCCAAGCTTGCTAGTCACCCTGCGTGACATTGTGGTCCACTCACCTGACACCATGTCATCCTTCAGTGGGATGGCCCAGTCCAGGATGACGAATGAATGACAGCCTTCCATGGCGACCACCGTGATGTTGTAGGGCTTGTTCTTGGGCGGCTGTTTCTGATTGGTAGCCAGGCTGTCTTTCTTGAACAGGTTTTCCAGGACGTCCACCTGTAGGTATTCCAGAGCCTCCGTCAGCGAGCACGGAGCGCCCGGATCCTTCTGGATGAAGTTCACGTACGGAGCTGGAGGGAGGGATGGCAAGGAGGGATGGGAAAGCAGCAAGATGGTTGATCAATTATATTACATTTTCGTTGGTTTTACGCACCAACCATAGTGGGAGAGCACTATGGTTTTCATTGGTCTACATTAAACACTAAAATAATTATGTTAAAGAGGCAGTGCGGTTAAATACATTATTTTCCTGTTTTTTTCCATGATATTTCCACACTATGAGGTTGAAATAACACTCTGAAATTGTGAAAATTATGATAATGCCGTTTTTGTGTAAGAGTTGTTTGAAGAAAATGCCTGGAATTTCAATCTGTTCAGGTGGGATGGAGTTTTTAGCCCAGATCATGACATCACAATCTGATCTGATTATTCTGACCAGTCATCTTTTATTTGCTTATGTATCCTACTACTTTGAAGGGTTAGGCGGGGTAGGCTCTAGAGTCTAGACGACCCTATCCGCAATCAGGGCTGTGTATGTAAATATACTGTCTTTAAATTTGCATCGACACGCCCACACGATCAGCCTGAGCATTTCAATGGCAAAAGGACGCTCAGGGAAATAAATGATAAAAAATACATTTGGAGTTATTTTTATGAAATGATGATTTAGACATACAGTGATGATTTAAAATGATTTAATTAAAAAGACTGCATAGAGGCTCTAATACAAGAAGGCAATGTTGTAACATCTGCTGGTGGACAATAAAGTATCATATTACAATCTATTCAGTTTATAACTCAGTCTATTAGGAGTCCCTCTGTTTGTCAGGAGTTCAGGAGAAGTCAGAGGTCGTGTGAGACCCCTGGTCCCATCTTTCTTCCTCGTCGGGTGATTTTCTGTCTGTGTTTGTCTGTATTTCTGTCGTCTCTGTGTTTGTGGGAGCTAGTGCCAGTTGGATCCATACACAGCTGTGAACACTTCCAGAACTCCCAGAATTCTCAGTCTGATTGGGCTGCCGATGGGAATGGGAATTTGGCTGGACTCAGTCCCACCCCACCACACAACTTGGGACAGGCAACTGTAGCCAACAGACACAGGCCAACAGGGCTACAAGTGTTACTGTCCTCAAAGGCTTCTACTCTCCTTTTTTTTTTTTATAGCATAGAGTTGAGAACTTTTCACCGACATCTCATAATGTTCTTATAGCTACACATCTGGACACAGATGTGTCTGTCTTTTTATGTGCTTTTCTAGATGTATACATGTGTCTGTTTCCACATGGTATCTTACTTTTGAGATCTGAACATGTGTCTTCTATAGTCTTTCTATATCTATCTTTTGATCTACTACATTCTGAGGAAGCAGATGGAGTGCTTTTAACCCTTTCCTTTATGTTCCGGAAAACAGAGTTTGAAATCACTAAAATACTATTTCACATAATTTTCCCACAATGACCCTTCATCTACTTACCTACAGTAAGTATGGGTCTGAAACTTGCAAAACATGTAATTTAAAAGAAAAACAAAAAAATTGACCCGGTACCGGAATAGTGACATCCATAATGTTCTGGGTCAATTTAAACCCGCAATTTGACCTTGACCTTGATGTATATAACTTTCGAACAGTTTGTCCTAGAAACAAGCTGATTTCTGGACAGGAATGGTGCAACCATGCTGATAACATACTGTAGATATAAGTGTACATATAATTTCCCTATGATGCTGAGAGGCTGATCAACACTGATCAACACTACCCCTTCATGACAATTTGACCTTGACCTTTGACCTTGACCTTTGTCGTTGGTCTTCTGTGCAGTAAATATCTATCCATGATGATCACAAGGATATAAGTATGTTTTCCCTGTGATGTTCAGAGGCTGAGGGACAGTGATCTGAATTCTAGCAAAAAATGTCAGAAATGTCAGAAAATGTAGTAATTTGATTGATTTACGAATTTGGTACAGTAGTCAAACATTTGGCTCTACATTTTTAACAGTTGGGTCTATCAACTCAGGGGGGAAAGCATATGAAATACGACATTCTCAGCTACTGGAAAATACATTGAGAGGTTAAAATCATATATTTATGAAATTGACCCAGAACATAAACGGTGTAAGCCGAATCGAACATAAGGGAAGGGATAACTTTATACTCTTCTTCCTTTTTGAAATGCTCCATTGACTTACATCATAAGCTCTATATGAGTCTTCAGATAACATATGTGTCTGCCTGTGAAGAGGAACTCAAAGGCCTTTGGCTGGCGCCAGTACAGTTGACTGACACGATTGGTCAATTAAGTTAGCATGGTCAAACCCCCTCCAGATAGAGGAATGGTGGATGTGTCAGAAAGCTGGCTGCTGTGTTGGATCTGATATATTAAACTCATAAATATGTGAGAGGATGTCTCCTTGTCTGGCCGTCAGGGACCTCTTCTCTCACTGCTGATATCAGCGGGTTTCATATTATTTCTTTATTTCACTGTTATTCTTATTCTATTTCATTCTGTCTTAGGATTTGTTTCATGGATGTAATGAGCTTCAGATGTGTTTGCTGTGCGTCTGCCGGCCTCGGCTCACAGGATCGTCACAGAAACCGTTTAACTGGATTAGATGACCTGGTTCAGGGGCCAATGTTGTAATAACATTGTAAAAATATGGTAATTTAGCAGACTTTCATCCAAAGCTGTCAACACATAAGCCTACAGCATATTCAGTGTAAATGGCTCTGGTGTTGCAAGCATCGTGCACCAACCAAACAATTGGAACCAATTGTGTTCCAATTGGTGGTACTGCCTAACTCAGGGGTAGGCAATAAGCCATAGGAGTGGATGTGGATGGAGCAGACAGGAAGAGACAGACGAGGCCAAAGCAAGCACATTAGAGCAGTAAAGAGACAGCAGGATGCTTCAAAAGCAACTGAACGTAGTAAGCAACTTCTCCTTTTGAAAACGGCCTATGTGGCATTGATATGAGTCAGAAACATTTGTTCTAGTTTCAAAATTGACTACAAAGTGCAAATAGGGTAATTTTGGTCATAGTGTCAGTCTCGTCCAAAACAGAGATTTGCGAGATATTTTGGAAAAAATGGCATGTCACGGAATGAAGGGTACCGTAATAGCTTTCCTTGGGTTGGGTTTATTTCAATCCTGCCCACATGCCCACAGCTGGCAGCACCCAAGTAATCATCAAATCGGAGCACAGCTACATGCGACCTGATCGTAATGCCCATGGTCAATTTGGTTTGACATTCGAAATCCCTATGGGGCTAGTTAGGGACCATCAGTAAATTACACAATGTACATGGGAATTTTTTTTTTCATGTCAATAGCTCCAAATGTCAATGGCCTAAAAACCTCAAAGCAACTGTAAATTGTAGAAATGCATATACACATTTTGAAAGCATTTAATGAGACAACTAAAAGGTTTGCAAAATGAAAATATTGTTCCATTTACATTGTATAATTTATTGATGATCCCTAACTAGCCCCACAGATAGGCTATCAAAAGTCAAACCAACTTTGCCACCGTTGTACACCAGCTGACTGAAGCTAACTGGTGAAAGAAGTTGGCTAGCTTGCTAGCTAGTCTAGGCTACTTTCAGACACAAGACCTGGTTAGACTGTTTCAAGTTATCTAGAACAGTGAGTGACTGTAACAGTGTACTGTTAGAATGAAAGAATGAAAGTACAAACGCTTCCCAGGTTCGAACACACACGCAAGGGACAACCACATCAAAGCACACCTCCAAAACCCAAATCTCGCATTTCCTAATGAGGAGAATTGAAACCAAGGCTTATCAGGCAGTTCAGCCCGCCTTTCAGAACACTCACTGACCTCGGCTGACATCACAGCTTTCTATGTTATCGGTCACCCCCGTCCTGTCAGGGCAGTCCACTCAGACCAATGTCATGTGGACCCTGAACTGTCGAGTGGCATTGGGAAGTACAAAGGCCTACAGTGCGACCATTTGTTCTAGGAACAACATTCTCAACTGACTCCGTTGTCTCCAAATCTCTGACCTGTCATAGTGACACTTTACACACAGACCCAGTCCCATGTATTATGTACACCCAAGGCATGACCAGGTAAGTTGACCAGAGAAGGTAAGTTTGGCAACCCTAGTGTGCCTTTGCTCCAGCCCAGCACTAACACTAATCATGCTCTTCAATCTAGGGACCTGGATTAGTTTCATCAGCTGTGTTAGTATTGGGCTGGAACAAAACCCAGTAAACAATGCGGACAGCTCTCCAGGACCATGATTGACCCTCAATCTCTGCAGGAGAGGGTCACAGAGGGGTGAAACAACATTAGAGGTCATTTCAGGTTATCATCTGTTAGCTAATAGAAGATACAACTCCTCTGATGGTTCTGCCAGACCAATGCAATGATGGCACTCACTCACCTAAAAGTGTTTTCGTTGGCCCAGGGGTAATCATGTAAATATATGAGCTAGTCAAGCACTGTGAATGTATTTAAGATGTGCAACTGAATGAGCCAAGATAGAGAGACAGAGTTAATTTCTCCCATGTGAAAGAAAACAGAACACACACCAAATAGACTATAATTATTTATAGGGCTGAGACACACGTGTTGCACACAAGCACACACACACACACTTAACCCTCCCGTTGTCCTAGGGTCAAAATGACCCGCCACTGTGTTGAACCAACTTTATTTAATTTTTATATTTTTGGTATCATTTGTGAGAAGGAGGCAGTGAGACTTTAAAGAAAGTATCACTGCCTCCTTCTCACAAATGATCCAAAAAATATAAAAATTAAATAAAGTTGGTTCAACACAGTGGCGGGTCATTTTGACCCTAGGACAACGGGAGGGTTAAAATGGGAGCATGTTCACTCAATCAAACACAAAAACACACACGTGTTTCAGCTGGATGCCTGGATCAACATTATTTATGTTACGAAAAACTGCCTTTCTCTTTGGCATTTAGAGGGACTTCACAGAATCTTAACCCACAAAAACAAATGTAATCACTCACTACTGAGAACACTGCAGAAAGACAGGATGATCACTCATTTACAATAAGTGAGATATACTATATGCTTGAAGAGGTTAAGCTCAGTTTAAACTGAGATCCATCATATAGATAATGGTAATGCAGTATAAAGCCAGACCTGTGTGATGACAGGGTTAAGCTCTAAACAGTAAAGTCTAAATCCACAGATGACAAGGTTAAGCTCTTAGACGGTGATGCTGAAATAACTGCAAGTGGTATCTTTCATCAAGAAAGATAGTTTGTCAAACTCAAACACAAAACAGCTCAAACACACTTACAAGCACACACCCACGTGCATGTGAGGTGCACGCACGCGATCAGGCACGCATACATGCAAGCAAGCTCACACACATACACCCACCCACACACACAAACACACACACACACACACACACACACAAGAATACACACACACACGCACACTCCCTGCTCACACACATTGCACATACTACAGTTATCACTTTTCTCCATACCGTAGCCTACCTGTGAAGCGTTTCTTCCCGGTGAGGTCGAACTCATTGGAGGGGCTATTGTTGAAGGGCCTGGTGTCTGGTTCAGGGTTGGGGGGGTCTGTCGTGGCGGTGGTGGGGGGCAGCGTGGGGGGCAGGGTGGTCTGCCACAACAACTCATCTAGAAGAAAAAAGGGAGAAGTGAAGGCATGACCATCACAAACTAAATCCAAATACCATTGAATTTAGTCTGTGTGACATTTTGCTATGTAGCACTAGGCCTTTGTAATTGGCATGTAATAAGCATGCAATAGCTCTTGAAATGAGTGTGATATCATTGGAAATGACCTTGATGCACCGGCTTTTGAACATCATGCCCGTTTCACAGTAGATTACTGTAATGTTCATGGTTCTGAGCCTAACAAATGTGTACGGATTAAGTCAGTGAAATCAATTAGTTACTTCCAGCAGCACCAGTAGTTCTGGCCAGTGGAGTGCCAACGGACCTCTGCATGACACCATCATGTGCCTCACACACAGCCTTGCAGGGAAACACTATGAAAATATTGTGATGCAATTTGTCAAGCAGTGCATATACAAGCAATATTTTTCTCATGGCACTAATCAAACTATAACATCATGGCGTATGCTTACCAAACACAACATAAATCACAGTTCCCCCATTCACTAAAACCATGAATGACCATGCATTACCAGTATACCATAACATGACATGATACACTTTACATACAAAAGTATGTGGACACCCCTTCAAATTAGTGGATTCGGCTATTTCAGCAACACACGTTGCTGACAGGTGTATAAAATCAAGCACACCGCCATGTAATCTCCATAGCCAAACATTGGCAGTAGAATGGCCAGTCCTGAAGAGCTCAGTGACTTTCAACGTGGCACCGTCATAGGATGCCACCTTTCCAACAAGTCAGTTCGTCAAATTTCTGCCCTGCTAGAGCTGCCCTGGTCAACACTAAGTGCTGTTATTGTGAAGTGAAACGTCTAGAAGCAACAACGGCTCAGCCGTTAAGTGGTAGGCCACACAAGCTCACAGAACGGGACCGCCGAGTGCTGAAGCGCGTAATGCGTAAAAATCATCTGTCCTCAGTTGCAACACTCACTACGGTGTTCCAAACTGCCTCTGGAAGCAACGTCAGCACAAGATCTGTTCGTCGGGAGCTTCATGAAATGGGTTTACATGGCCGAGCAGCCACACACAAGCCTAAGATCACCATGCACAATGCCAAGCATCAGCTGGAGTGGTGTAAAGCTCACTGCCATTGGACTCTGGAGCAGTGGAAACGTGTTCTTTGGAGTGATGAATCACGCTTCACCATCTCACAGTCCAATGGACAAATCTGGGTTTGGCGGATGCCTGGAGAACGCTACCTGGCCGAATGAATAGTGCTAACTGTAAAGTTTGATGGAGGAGGAATAATAGTCTGGGGCTATTTTTTATGGTTTGTGCTAGGCCCCTTAGTTCCAGTGAAGGGAACTCTTAACACTACAGCATACAATTACATTCTAGATGATTCTGCTCTTCCAACTTTGTGGCAACAGTTTGGGGAAGGCCCTTTCCTGTTTCAGCATGACAATGCTCCTGTGCACAAAGCGAGGTCCATACAGAAATGGTTTGTCGAGATCGTTGTGGAAGAACTTGACAGGCCTGCACAGAGCCCTGACCTCAACCCCATCGAACACCTTTGGAATGAATTGGAACGCAGACTGCGAGCAAGGCCTAATCGCCCAACATCCGTGCCCGAACTCACTAATGCTCTTGTTGCTGAATGGAAGCAAGTCCCTGCAGCAATGTTCCAGCATCTAGTGGAAAGCCTTCCCAGAAGAGTGGAGGCTGTTATAGCAGCACAGGGGGGACCAACTCCATATTAATGCCCATGATTTTAGAATGAGATGTTCGAGAATCGAGAAAGTGTCCACATACTTTTGGTTATGTAGTGTATAACATCACAAGTCATCATTACATGCAGCAACATCACAGAGCAGAACAGTACAGTAGAGCATAACAGGGCATTCTCTCTGAGTTAGTAATGCAGTTCACAGGCACTGTAGAGGTTGAGTTGAGTTGAGTTGGCCAGATAAAACATCAGAAACACAGCCGATGATGGAAGGAAATCAAACCCAACCCAAACAAACACACAACCGACCATAGAAACAAAGCAAAGACCACAGGCAAGTAAAGATGAAACAGAGGAAAAAGTCAACAAACAGATTGACTGATAGATTAACATTAAAAGAAACAATGCAGGCAGGCAGGCCCAGCCCTGTGGCTGTCGGTACATAGCCATTACTCAGCCGGTACCTTCCTCAATAGCTAAAGCGTCAGGCACCATGGCAACCGTACCCATAGAGTCCGTTTCCATTCCTGAGGATTCCTCTGTAGGATAAGCGAGACAGGCTATAGCATGACCACAAACCACTATAAACACATACAGTTGAAGTCGGAAGTTTACATACACCTTAGCCAAAAATATTTAAACTCAGTTTTTCACAATTCCTGACATTTAATCCAAGTAAAAATTCCCTGTCTTAGGTCAGTTAGGATCACCACTTTATTTTAAGAATGTGAAATGTCAGAATAATAGTAGAGAGAATGATTTATTTAAGCTTTATTTCTTTCATCACATTCCCAGTGGGTCAGAAGTTTACATACACTCAATTAGTATTTGGTAGCATTGCCTTTAAATTCTTTAACTTGGGTCAAACATTTCGGGTAGCCTTCCACAAGCTTCCCACAATAAGTTGGGTGAATTTTGGCCCATTCCTCCTGAAAGAGCTGGTGTAACTGAGTCAGGTTTTAGGCCTCCTTGCTTGCACACCCTTTTTCAGTTCTGCCCACAGATTTTCTATAGGATTGAGGTCAGGGCTTTGTGATGGCCACTCCAATACCTTGACTTTGTTGTCCTTAAGCCATTTTGTCACAACTTTGGAATTATGCTTGGGGTCATTGTCCATTTGGAAGACCCATTTGCGACCAAACTTTAACTTCCTGACTGATGTCTTGAGATGTTACTTCAATTTATCCACATTATTTTCCTTCCTCATGATCCCATCTATTTTGTGAAGTGCACCAGTCTCTTCTGCAGCAAAGCACCCCCACAGCATGATGCTGCCACCCCCGTGCATCACGGTTGGGATGGTGTTCTTCGGCTTGCAAGGACCCCCTTTTTCCTCCAAACATAACAATGGTCATTATGGCCAAACAGTTCTATTTTTGTTTCATCAGACCAGAGGACATTTCTCCAAAAAGTACGATCTTTGTCCCCATGTGCAGTTGCAAACCGTAGTCTATCTTTTTATGGCGGTTTTGGAGCAGTGGCTTCTTCCTTGCTGAGCGGCCTTTCAGGTTATGTCAATATAGGACTCATTTTCCTGTGGATATAAATACTTTTGTACCTGTTTCCTCCAGCATCTTCACAAGGTCCTTTGCTGTTGTTCTGGGATTGATTTGCACTTTTCGCACCAAAGTATTGTCATCTCTAGGAGACAGAACGCGTCTCCTTCCTGAGCGGTATGACAGCTGCGTGGTCCCATGGTGTTTATACTTGCGTACTATTGGTACCTTCAGGCGTTTGGAAATTGCTCCCAATGATGACTTGTGGAGGTCTACATTTTTTTTTCTGAGGTCTTGGCTGATTTCTTTTGATTTTCCCATGATGCCAAGCAAAGAGGCACTGCGTTTGAAGATAGGCCTTGAAATACATCCACAGGTACAAATACAATTGACTCAAATTATGTCAATTAGCCTATCAGAAGCTTCTAAAGCCATGACATATTTTGGGGGAATTTTCCAAGCTGTTTAAAGGCACAGTCAACTTAGTGTATGTAAACTTCTGACCCACTGGAATTGTGATACAGTGAATTATAAGTGAAATAATCTGTCTGTCAACAATTGTTGGAAAAATTACTTGTGTCATGCACAAAGTAGATGTCCTAACCGACTTGGCAAAACTATAGTTTGTTAACAAGAAATATGTGGAGTGGTTGAAAGACGAGTTTTAATGTCTCCAACCTAAGTGTATGTAAACTTCCGACTTCAACTGTACATGCACACACACACATACACACATTGAAAAGGCACAAATATATGCACAAATACACTACTGGTCAAAGGTTTTAGAATACCTACTCATTCAAGGGTTTTTCTTTATTTTTACTATTTTCTACATTGTAGAATAATAGTGAAGACATCAGAACTATGAAATAACACATATGGAATCATGTAGTAAGCAAAAGAGTGTTAAACAAATCAAAATATATTTTATATTTGAGATTCATCAATTAGCCACCCTTTGCTTTGATGACAGCTTTGCACACTCTTGGCATTCTCTCAACCAGCTTCAGGAGGTAGTCACCTGGAATGCATTTAAATTAACAGGTGTTCTTTCCTTCTTAATGCGTTTGAGCCAATCAGTTGTGTATGTGTGTGTGGAGAACAGCTCAAATGAGCAAGGAGAAAAGACATGAAGGTCAGTCAATCCGGAAAATTGCTTCACAGAGTTCAAGTCACAGACACATCTCAACATCAACTGTTCAGAGGAGAATCATGGCCTTCATGGTCGAATTTCTGCAAAAAAACACTGCTAAAGGACACCAATAAGAAGAAGAGTCTTGCTTGGGCCAAGAAACACGAGCAGTGGGCATTAGACCGGTGGAAATGTGTCCTTTGGTCTGGAGTCCAAATTGGAGATTTTTGGTTCCAACCGCCGTATCTTTGTGAGACGCGGTGTGGGCTCAGCGTATGGGAGAAGTCCTTCAAGACTGTTGGAAAAGCATTCCAGGTGAAGCTGGTTGAGAGAATGCCAAGAGTGTGCAAAGCTGTCATCAAGGCAAAGGGTGGCTACTTTGAAGAATCTCAAATATAAAATATATTTGGATTTGTTTAACACTTTTTTGGTTACTACATGATTCCATATGTTTTAATTCATAGTTTTGATATCTTCACTATTATTCTACAATGTAGAAAATAGTAAAAATAAAGAAAAACCCTTGAATGAGTAGGTGTTCTAAAACTTTTGACCGGTAGCATATAAACACGCAGCAACACTCACTTGGCTTTCTAGCTCCAGTACAAAGTTTAAAGTTGATGGTGGAAAAAAGTGGTGCACTGTTTTGAGTTAACAATTAAGTATTTCCTCCATTATTTGTTCTTAGTCATCTCAATTGCCTTGTTGTAAAATCAACACAACTGGGGATGGTTATTCCCTTAAACTTGCAAAGAGGATAATTACATTGGAAAACATATTACTTATGGCTGTCTGTCTTTGAGTGTGTGTTTGTTACAATAACCCCTATAAGAGCCTAATAACATGTATGTGTCTGAATGTAGGCTTTGTGTCTGTATTGTGTTAATCCCTATGGAACACTTAGGTCTAGCCATAAAAGTGTGTTTGGGCGTGTGTTAATCATGTGTCTTGTGGTAAAGATAATAGTGGTGTAGTGAGATTGACTGCTTAGCTCAGGGAGTGGGTTAGGGTTTTTACCCAGCCCCAGCGTTATCCTGACCACAGTCAGTGCCAGATGTGGCTGGCCCTGATGTGGTTCCCGTCAGATCTGGGTTCAAATACTATAACAAATAATTTAAAATACTTCATCTTTGCCTGACTGAGCTTGCCTGGCTTAATGGCACCAATAGAATAGTCCCAAAACTGCAAACCCTGCCCATTTTAAGGCTGGTTTATACTTTGTCTATCGACATATCTGTAGACAATTAGAATGCGACAAGTCTCGCTGTTCTAAACAATCTTTAATTTATACTCCGGTGGATTGTCTGTAGACCGTCGCTACGACTGTCATTTTCCTTGTCGCAGACAGATTAAAAGTGTTCAACTTTGACCCTGTTGCTGGGTCCGCTGTCATGGTTACCTGACTGAGACAGCAATGAGACACACACAAGTTCTAAAATTCTCCGATAGAATGCCCTGCTTTTATTTTGTCACACTCATCACAAGCTATTTTCTGTAATTAGCTCGCCCTTAACTTGTAAATAACGATCTTGTTGTGAATTAATTTTCCTATAATAATGAATAAACATTTGCTAAATTTAAGAAGTTGTCAGCTATGATATGGTCATTATTTGAAATGGCTAGCCAGCTAGCTAGCTAGTTAGCTAACAAGCTAAAAACAAACCAAAACATTGCTTAGAAAGTTGGTTTTAGTTGCCTGGCTTGCTAGATTGACATATACTAAATTAATTTTCAAACAGATGGGTTTATTGGTGTTAAAAATACAGCAGTTATGCTATTTTTGACCACCAGGCGGCTGATGTCATACAGCCTGTAGTTTTTGTGTTTACACTTTTTCATAACGACAATGACAAGTTTGATGTCGGACGACAATAGAATGTACATGATGTCACTGCGACAACTGTCTATACACATGTCGATAGACCAACTGTAAACCAGCCTTTAGCCTGCCAACTCCAGGCAGGCTAAGGCAAATGCTCAAATTGTTTGAAAGATTTGAAATAGTATTTGGACGCAAGCCCTGATCTGGTTCCAGTGGTCTCTGAAGAAAGACATCTCTCGACTGTGCCTGGCCAGATCGTACAGGGCTCTGTGGCCACAGACAGGACGTACTTATTATGGTCAGGATGTTATGGAGATGGTAAACAACAACAGCTCACAGACTAACTGATGACAGACTCCATTCTGATCCACTGCTTTTAGCCTGCATAAAATGTAATAGATAATACAAGCCCAGATTAAGCCTAGTCCTGGACTGAAAATCATTCTCAATTGAAAGCGCATTTAAGTCCAGAGAGGTATACTAAGAAGCGGGATAGAGGAGTTAGCAACTACCTTTGGTCAATTCTGAGTTCATCTCGGGATAACTGTTGACACGAAGGTGGCTCACATTTTAGCCAGGTACATTTTGAATCCTTCAGGCAATAATTGTTCAGCTCTAACTTGCTCCGTGGAAGGCTAACTCAGAGCTAACTGTCTGAGCCACGAGTTGAGGGCCAATTAAATCAGATTCCCTCCCTCTCACTAAGATTGCATCATCATCCCCTTCATTTAGCGTAGCGACTGATTCAATCTTTTATTAATGAAATGTATTTTGACTCGCTGGGATTATCCACCTGCGACATGCAAATGCATTTACAAGCCTGGCTGGAGTTAACGTAAGATTTAGGATAAATATCCTCCTTCGTAACATGGATGAAGCCTGAACTGGAATTTGAAGCTAACTGAAGCTGGCTAGCTTCATAAAATCCTGAGTAGATCTAGCTAGCGTCATAGTACACCCCTCTGGAATAGGCTTAATCTGGGTCAGGTAAACTGGCCCTAGAACAGCAACAACTACTACTAGTGCTACTACTATGATAGTACTAGTTTGATTACTATAACACTACTAGTAATATGAGAGTACATACAGAAGCGTTAGTCAGCGTTAGTCAGACTTGCCTTCAGGATAACAGTCCAGGATGCCATTAGCATCCAGCATTGGGAATCCCTCATCATCCCTGATCAAAAATGTTCCTGGAGGACAGGTCGGGAACACCGGCATGGTCAAGGTCTCCTCTGTGGACATTTCAGTGGTGGTTGGGAGCGAGGTCGGTTCAGGTGTGGTTGTAGTAGGAGGTCTGGTTGTGGTTGTGGTCCTGGGTTTAGGCCGGTCCAGGCCAATGATGGGTTTGCCACCCACGGTCAGGAACTTGTCTTTGGGGTTGACCACCGGTTGGCTGTCCCGACCGTGACCAAACAGAGCCTGGCCCTCCTGGTTCACCAATGGGCTGCCCTGGTGGTCTAGCAGGGGAGAACAATCAATCAGTTATCTATCTGTGTAAACAAAACAGTATGGTCTTGTGCTGTACAGTGAGGGAAAAAAGTATTTGATCCCCTGCTGATTTTGTATGTTTGCCCACTGACAAAGAAATGATCAGTCTATAATTTTAATGGTAGGTTTATTTGAACAGTGAAATCCAGAAAAATCCAGAAAAATGCATGTCAAAAAATTTTATAAATTGATTTGCATTTTAATGAGGGAAATAAGTATTTGACCCCCTCTCAATCAGAAAGATTTCTGGCTCCCAGGTGTCTTTTATACAGGTAACGAGCTGAGATTAGGAGCACACTCTTAAAGGGAGTGCTCCTAATCTCAGTTTGTTACCTGTATAAAAGACACCCTTCCACAGAAGCAATCAATCAATCAGATTCCAAACTCTCCACCATGGCCAAGACCAAAGAGCTCTCCGAGGATGTCAGCGACAAGATTGTAGACCTACACAAGGCTGGAATGGGCTACAAGACCATCGCCAAGCAGCTTGGTGAGAAGGTGACAACAGTTGGTGCGATTATTCGCAAATGGAAGAAACACAAAATAACTGTCAATCTCCCTCCGCCTGGGGCTCCATGCAAGATCTCACCTCGTGGAGTTGCAATGATCATGAGAACGGTGAGGAATCAGCCCAGAACTACACGGGAGGATCTTGTCAATGATCTCAAGGCAGCTGGGACCATAGTCACCCAGAAAACAATTGGTAACACACTACGCCGTGAAGGACTGAAATCCTGCAGCGCCCGCAAGATCCCCCTGCTCAAGAAAGCACATATACAGGGCTGTCTGATGTTTGCCAATGAACATCTGAATGATTCAGAGGAGAACTGGGTGAAAGTGTTGTGGTCAGATGAGACCAAAATCGAGCTCTTTGGCATCAACTCAACTCGCCGTGTTTGGAGGAGGAAGAATGCTGCCTATGACCCCAAGAACACCATCCCCACCGTCAAACATGGAGGTGGAAACGTTATGCTTTGGGGGTGTTTTTCTGCTAAGGGGACAGGACAACTTCACCGCATCAAAAGGACGATGGACGGGGCCATGTACCGTCAAATCTTGGGTGAGAACCTCCTTCCCTCAGCCAGGGCATTGAAAATGGGTTGTGGATGGGTATTCCAGCATGACAATGACCCAAAACACACGGCCAAGGCAACAAAGGAGTGGCTCAAGAAGAAGCACATTAAGGTCCTGGAGTGGCCTAGCCAGTCTCCAGACCTTAATCCCATAGAAAATCTGTGGAGGGAGCTGAATGTTCGAGTTGCCAAACGTTAGCCTCGAAACCTTAATGACTTGGAGAAGATCTGTAAAGAGGAGTGGGACAAAATCCCTCCTGAGATGTGTGCAAACCTGGTGGCCAACTACAAGAAACGTCTGACCTCTGTGATTGTCAACAAGGGTTTTGCCACCAAGTACTAAGTCATGTTTTGCAGAGGGGTCAAATACTTATTTCCCTCATTAAAATGCAAATCAATTTATAACATTTTTTACATGCGTTTTTCTGGATTTTTTTGTTGTTATTCTGTCTCTCACTGTTCAAATAAACCTACCATTAAAATTATAGACTGATCATGTCTTTGTCAGTGGGCAAACTTACAAAATCAGCAGGGGATCAAATACTTTTTTCCCTCACTATAAGTGTGATATCTCCCTTTCTCATAAGGAGGAATAAATAGGGGAGATGAGGCGTCTTGATATACCAACATATTATAAAGCTCTTAGGAATGTAGACCTGTAATACTCATAGAAACAGTGTTCAATATAACAGAAGGTTAGTTTACAGTATCTCACCAAAGATGGTGCGTCCGTCCTCTCCTAGAACCACCCTCTTGGGTTGGCCCTGAGAGTCCTGGAGAACCCTGCCATTCTCGTTCATCAGGACCCCGTTATCCAAGTCCACCACCTGGAGAATAGAACACATCACAGGGTTGGACATAAGACTCATATGTCATGGGGAAACATTATATTAAGGAGAGTCTGCATAATGGTTAACATTGCAGGTGAAACGATGAAACTGTCTCCTTTCAATCCCCTTTACTTTGGAATAAAACATATCGAGACACAGACATACCCATTTGGCTCCATCAGGCCCAGTGATGTACCTTCGTCCATTAGGTTTGGTGTTGTCATTGGATGTGCTGGACTCTTTGTCACTGGTCGCTGTGAGATTGGGGCGGCCATTTTTACCATTTGCATAGCCGGGCTTGAGGCCTCCACTTGGGGTTTTACCCCTGCGAAGGGGGTCTGACCGGCTGGGGTAGTGTGTCCTTGTCCCCTGGCCCACCACAGAGTCTCTGGATGAGGATGACAAGGATGGTAAGGAGGAAGAGGAGCCCTGAGACCCCTGGCTGCCTCCAGGGGAGATCTGTCTGAGGGAGGGGCGAGAGAGGGAAGGGGAGGAGCCTCCAGTGCTAACACTAACGCCCCCACTAACCCCGTGGTCTGGTTGCGGCAGACTAGAGGAGGAAGAGGAAGAAGAGGAAGATGATGTGTCTGGGATAGAGGAACCTAATCGTGTGCTCTGTGCTGGTTGTGCTCTAAGGGGGAACCTAGAACCTGTCTGCCTGTTTGTGAGCAGGGGAGATCGCACCCTCCCGTTGGGACCTATAATGGGACGGCGGGGGAGCGTAGAACCGGGGACGAAACCGGGCCTGGTTCTACTAGGCGTGGGGTTCCTGTCCACACTCTCGTTGGCCCCACTCTGGGGCACCCTGCGGGCGGTAGTGGGGGCTGAGGTAGTGGTAGTGGTGGTAGTAGTTTTGGGGGCGGGGGTTGGGTCTGTGACTTTCTCATTCCACTCATACATCTCCTTACTCCCCTCATAGAGATAGTCCTCCTTATGGTCATTACTGCTGTCCTCCCTGGTGCTGCTTCCTCTGTGGACGGGCTCACTGGAGTCTCTATGACCACTAGAAGAGGAGAAAGAAGAGGAAGAGGAGGTGATGGGATTCCTAGATCCACCTAGAATGCTATTCCTGTTGGGCAGAGAGGGTTTAAGTGCCCCAGCCCCCACCCCGTTCTTTAACGGGTAGAGGGTGGAGGGGGTTTTAGAATCCTCACTGGTCTCCTGCACTGCTGAGGTCCTTGATGCCCCTGAGGCAGATGCTGCCCCCGAGGCAGCTATCCTAGAGGGGCTTCCTCTCAGGATGGGTCTCCCTGCCCCAACAGAGGATGAGGAGGCTGTCCTGCTCCAGGGAACCCTCCCGTCCGCCCGGGGGGAAGAGAACCTGCTACTGCTCCCCGTCCCTGTTCCAAACCTGCTCTGGTGCCGGTTCACAAAGTGGTTAATCCTGGAGGCAGGGGGAGCAGGCGTCTTGGAAGGAGGGGGAGCTGGGGTGTTGTAGTTGGTCTTCCCCCTCCCTCCCTCCTCTTTCCAGTTTTCCCTCTCTCCTTCCTCTCTCCTGTCTCCCCTCCCTCCATCCTCTCTCCTGTCTCCCCTCCCTCCCTCCTCTCCCCTGTCTCCCCTCCCTCCATCCTCTCTCCTGTTTTCCCTCTCTCCCTCCTCTTTCCTGTCTCCCCTCCCTCTCTCCTCTCTCCTGTCTCCCCTCCCTCCCTCCTCTGTCCTGTCTCCCCTCCCTACCTCCTCTCTCTTGTCCTGTCTCCTGTCCTCCTCAGAAGAATGTGTAGTGAAAATGATCCGGGAACTGGAAGTGGGTTCTTCTTCTTTGGTGGCCTCTGCCTCTGTGACTTTGTAGTCATTGTAGTCGTTATTGTCCTGATGGTGTGTTGAGTGCTGTGTGTTAGGAGTGTGTGAGCCGTGAGTGTGTGATGTTTCTGGGATCTTGCCTCCGGTTGGTAGAGTGGACTGGGACATGCCGGCTGAAGTCGAGGCTGACCCAGGTTTGCGGAGTCCAGTCAGAACTCGACCATTTGGATTCCCTCGAGACAGGATCCCGGGTTTCCGCCTGCCATAACCATATCCACGGCCCGGCAGAGCAGACCCTCTTCCCACAGATGGTGCCTCGGTTTTGGGCTCTGAGACAGCCTGGTCTGGGGCAGGGGTTGAGGTGGAGGGTTTGGCCTCTGTGACACTGGGCTGGTCGTAGGTGTTTTTGCCCTCTGGGTAGTTGGTGACAATGTCGTCCTTCCTGATGGCTGCAGACTCCTGGTTGGGGGATGGGCTGGAAGATGAAGAAGATGAGGAGGAGGATGAGGAGGCGCTGTCCTTTTCTGAATCCTGTGTCTTTGGCTGGGACACTGTCCCTGAGCCTGATGTCCGGGAGAATGGTCTTCGTCTGCCAGAGAGAGGTTTGCGGAGAGGGTAGGAGGGTTTAGATGATGAGGAGCCCTCTGATGAGGGAACTTCTGTTTTGTCATCTACATCCTTCCCTCTACCTCTCCCTCTGACATAGCCCCTGTCCTCCTCAGGTGTAGAAGGAACAACATTGTTCTGAGTCACTGCTTCTTTCTTCTCCTCCATATCTTCGTTAGTGAGCTTCTCCTCCTCTTCTTCTGGAGTAGGTTCTGTTGTTTTGTTCTCCTCCTGTTCATCCTCTGTTTCTGTCTCTCTCCCCTTGTCTCTGGCTGAAGAGGTACCGGCTCCTAGTCGCTGATTGGTCGCCCCGTTCCTGACCGTGCCCCTCACATCTGAGAAGATGCTGTGATAGGAGCGTGTCTTGGTGAGGGGGCGTGTCCGTCTGGTGGCGGGCGGGGCAGATGTGGTCTGAGTGGGTGTGGCCGGCTCCTTGGTCACGTCTTCTAATTGGAGGTTGATGTCATCGTCATGGTAACTGTCCTGTTTGGACGTCCGAGAGGGGGTGTAGCTGGTTCTACGGCCGCCTTGGCTCTTGGAGTGATGAGTTGGCGAGGAGGCAACACTGCTGGCTGGCAGGTAAGATGGAGTATTAGTTAAGTGTACAAACCATTAGGACATTAGAAATGTAACCAACATCACGTACACAGGCACACACATGCACGCACCACACACACACACACACACACAATCACACACAATCACAAACACACAGTAGATGTGCTTACCAGTCCCTCCAGGCATGGCTACGCTAAAGGCTTTGGTCTGGGGGCCCTGGCCCCTCCTGTTGGTGGCCCTGATCTTGAAGATGTAGCGGTCCCCAGGCTGGAGGCCGTCTACGATGGCTGAGGTGGTGCTGCCGCGGTATGTCACTGACTTCATCCCAAAGGGTTTCATGGCAGGAGCATAGGACATGATGTACTCTGAGGGGAGGAGGACCAGGATCATATTACATATTGGCACCAACAGAAAACACTTGAGTAAATGAGGGACACAAAGTATATAGAAAGCAGGTGCTTCCACACAGGTGTGGTTTCTGAGTTAGTAAAGCAATTAACATCCCATCATGCTTAGGGTCATGTATAAAAATTCTGGGAAGGCCATTATTTTGGCCTTTATTTTGGCTACCATGGCTATGCCACAATAGGATGACAATGTCCCCATCCACAGGGTCACTGAATGGTTTGATGAGCATGAAAACGATGTAAACCATATGCCATGGCCGTCTCAGTCACCTGATCTCAACCCAATTGAACACTTATGGGAGAATCTGGAGCGGCGCCTGAGACTGAGTTTTCCACCACCATCAACAAAACACCAAATGATGGAATTTCTAGTGAAAGAATGGTGTCGCATCCCTCCAATAGAGTTCCAGACACTTGTAGAATCTATGCCAAGTTGCATTGAAGCTGTTCTGGCGTGTGGTGGCATATCGCTCTATTAAGACACTTTATATCAGTTTTTCCTTTATTTTGGTAGTTACTTGTACGTACAGTATGTGTTTATTAGAACTGAATATAATGTTGTTTAGTGTTGGTGGATTGATTAAGTAATGAGGTGGGAGTTTGATCAATTGATTAACTGATGGAGTGATATTGGTCAATATGGTGACTGATTGCATGATTGATTGTATTATTGTAGTGTTGTGCATCTTCAGGATGCCCAGCCCACATGGGCTTATAAGACACTGTATTTGCTGTAGCAAAATAAACAAATACCTTCCTAATATTGAGTTGCACCCCCCACCCCCCTTTTCCCTGAGAACAGCCTCAATTCGTTGGGGCATGGATTCTACAAGTTGTCGAAAGCTTTCTACAGGGATGTTGGCCCATGTTGACGCCAATGCTTCCCACAGTTGTGTCAAACTGGCTGGATGTCCTTTGGGTGCTGGACAATTCTTGATACATACAGGAAACTGTTAAGCATAAAAAACCCAGCAGCGTTACAGTTCTTGACACAAACTGGTGCGCCTGGCACCTACTACCATACCCTGTTCAAAGACACTTAAATAATTTGTCTTGCCTATTCACCCCCTGAATGGCACACATACACAATCCATGTCTCAATTGTCTCAAGGCTTAAAATCCTTCTTTAACCTATCTCTTCATCTACACTGATTGAAGTGGATTTAACAAGTGACATCAATAAGGGATCATAGCTTTCACCTGGATTCACCTGGTCGGTCTGTCATGGAAAGAGCAGGTGTTCTTAATGTTTTGTATACTCAGTGTATATACAGTATAAACATACGTTTATACGGTAGTGACAGACAATTGAGAAAACAAAACAAAATCCTTTCAAGTATACTTATCTTGTTGCATCTTCTAAGCTTTGGAGTTAAAATTTGCAACCAGGAAAACATCTTTCCTAAAATAGCCATTCAAGTTTTTCTTCATCTCTAATCCAGAATAATTCCTGTTTTCTTTGCAACATTTTATCAAACAGTAATAGCTCTCAAATTATCATACAAAGTACAATAACATTGCAGTTCATTCTCTACCTACCCTAAATCACAGACTGTACATAGTCACTCTTTTTCATCTATGGCATTGAACCTACCTACTTCAATTGACAGAGGCAGTATCCCGGTTCTCAACTGAGCACACAAGGACCTTTGGTTTCTGGTTAGGTGAGAGGTGATATAAGGTTCTAGATCGTGGTTTTTGATCTGGTTGTAAGTTCTGAGTTTTGGTTTTAGCCATATGTCAGTTGACCATTTTTCTTTGTAGCTTAGAGTTAACTTGTGTTTGATCATATTGACATTGCATAGTAACTTGTTTTGAAATATGTGTTGTAGATCAGCTTCCTTGAATATGGCATTGAGTTCCTTTCTCCAGGGGTAATTGTGTGTTTTATCCCAGTTAAAAAGCTCGTTTGTTATTATGTCTATTCCATAACCTAATCATTTCACCCCTCTGTCTTATTTCACTGGGCTCCCACCCCATGTCACCTTGAATAGCAAGGCTTGGGGCAAACTTATGCACTCCCAAAAAACATTGTATGGCTCTATTCTGAATATCGTTTGCTGTTTTGGATTCTATAAAACCCCAGATTCGAGCAGCATAGTTCACGATAGGACACACACATAAATTATAGAGCTGTGAATATGTACAATAGTCATGGTCTTTACAGATTTTCAGTTTACTTACAACAGACAGCAATGCTCTCCCTGCAGAATCTGATAAAGACTTTATACCCTCTTCAAAGGTCATACATTCATCAAAAAGGAAACCATGGTATTTATGTGAGCTAGTGTAGTTTAGGGGCCCTTGCTCCAAAAGTGAAGTCATTAATACTTCTTACTGTACCCTTTTTTCTGAAGTGCATTATCTGGGTTTTATCTTTGTTAATCATTCATCTCCATTTGGTACACCAGAGATTGACAGTGTTCAACATACATTGCAAATCAAACTCACTCTCTGCTTGGAGGACAATATCATTGGCATACAATAGTATCCCCAAAGTCATGTCATCTAATTCAACTCCAAGATTAGCAAGCTTGATTTGCGGGGCCAAGCAATTAAAAAAAAATGTTTATTTGTCTACACATATATACTGTATATTATTTGAATGATTAATAAGAGGGATACAGTGAAGTCATCTGCTGAATGATCAGAGCGGTATAGTCTCATGTTCTGACCTCGTATCCTCCCGTTGGGTTCCTCGGGAGGGTCCCAGGTCGCCGTGACGGCAGTTCCCTTCCCTCTCAGTGGCTTCACATCAAAGTTCTCCGGAGGACCAGAGGGAGCTTAAGAACACAGAGGAAAAAAGGGATGGAAAAAAGGAGGAGAAATAACGTGTTCCCGAGAGAGAAAAAAGGAGCAAGGAGAACAGAAGAAGGAAAGACGCTACTTGTAACAGAAACAGTAGTGAAAAACTCAAGTCCTGTTATATGCCAGGCTGTAAACGCTGACATCTCCCTGAACCTTTACTTACTCAGTCAGAAGCAGCTATTTTTATTTTTTATTTTTTTTATTTAGCAGACGCTCTTATCCAGAGCGACTTACAGTTAGTGAGTGCATACATTATATATATTTTTTTTTCATACTGGCCCCCCGTGGGAAACGAACCCACAACCCTGGCGTTGCAAACGCCATGCTCTACCAACTGAGCTACATCCCTGCCAGCCATTCCCTCCCCTACCCTGGATGACGCTGGGCCAATTGTGCGCCGCCCCATGGGTCTCCTGGTCGCGGCCGGCTACGACAGAGCCTGGATTTGCTATGGCACAATACGAATGCTATGCTCATGACAGAGCAGCCAAATATACTGTATGACTCCAGTATCCAGGATCAGTAAGTGGAGGATGAGAGTGAAACGTTAACTGTGCTGAATTATGACATAAAGCAATGAGATTGAAACTACAAACTGGCAGAGGTTTTCATGAAGGATTGATTGAAGGGAACAATCTGAATGAAATATGGATGAACGCCAAAACCGGTTAGAACTATGATAATTTGTATGACACTGTAGGACTCATATGATTCTCAAGAAAATGCCATTTCCTCTCTTAAAAAATGGGACATTACATGTAAGACTTGGGTTTATCCTATATTTTCAGACAGGCAGTAAGACAACCTACCAGATTCTGGGGTCCTCTGGAACACGGACACACTCCACTTGCCGTGGTTGTCTCCCTGGGAGATTCGGACGGAGAACTCGTACATCCCATCAGCTGACAGGGTATCTATCAGCAGCCTCCTCTGGTTGGTCTCTTTGTATTCCCATCGAGCAGACTCACCCTTCTCCCTGTACTTCACTGTGTAGTGTCTGGAGAAAGGAAAATACATTACCTCTCTCACACACTCATACACTTACACACTCACACACACACACACACACACTCACACACTCACACACTCACACACTCACACACTCACACACTCACACTCACACACACGCGCACACACGCACGCACACACACACACACACACAGAGACACGAGCCCACTCTCACCTGGAGCCACCAGGTAGGACCTTCTCCATCTCGATGGCTGGGTCCACCCAACTGATGAGGACAGACTGAGGGGACATGACCCTCACACCGATGTCTTTGGCCACATACTCCTCAGGCTCTGCATGGGGAACAAAGAACACTAAACATGGTCCAGAGGTCTAAGTAGAATTGCAGCCCATTATCAACCTGAAAACATCATCCTGGAATGTCTTTTGAAAAAAGGTAAAATATTACAGTAGCTGTCGTTTTTCTCAATACAATTCAGGCAATGGGAAAGGATGAGTGCCACAGGATTGACGTTTATCTCAATACATTGCAGTCAATGGGAGAAGATGAGTGTCACAGGCTTGATGCCTAAGTGAATACATTGCATTCAATCGGGCAAGATTTGCATCACAACATGGACGCATTGAGAAAGGCATCACAGACATGATACCATCCTCTCTCTCTCTTTCCCTCCCTCCCTTCTCTCTTTCTCTCTCTCTCTCTCCCTTCTCCCTCCTCCATTATATCTCTTAACTTCTTCCCCCCCCTCCCTCTAATCTTTATCTCCTTCTCCCTCCTCTCTCTCCCACCTCCACCTCTCTCTCCATTTCCCCACCTCCACAGACAGTACATTGACGCATAGATATGATTCAACGGTATTGACACTTAAGTCAATACATTGCATTCAAGGCAAAAAGGTTGGTGATAGAGCTACGCTGGGTAAGTTGGTGAAAGATTCAGACAGACAGACAGACAGATAGACAGACAGATCCACTCACAGACAGACAGCGAGAGAGAGAGACAGAGAGACAGACAAACAAACAGACAGACAGGCTTCCTGTCCACATCCTGGCTCAACCCTAACCCTAGCAACAACCCTAACCCTAGCCCTCCACATCTTGACTCAGCTCTTGGAGTTAGGGTTGAGCCGGGATGTGGACAAGAAGTTAACGTTAGGGTTGTGGCTAGGGTTAGGGTTGAGCCAAGATGTGGAGATGAAGTGAGGACTAGGGTTAGGGTTAAGCAGGGAGATATGAAGCTAGGGTTAGGCTTAGGGTTGAGGCTATGCTTAGGATTGAGCCGGGATGTGGCCTGTCTGTCTGTCGGCCTGTCTGTCTGTCTGATCACAGGAAATGACATAAATATACACATTATTCCCAATATACCTTATATACTGTATATCTACACATTGAAATAAAATAAAACATCACAAATCACCCATAAAAACAGAAAAACAGTTATGAATTCTTGAATGAATTCTGAAGAGGATATTGGTCATTTTTTTTACTTGAAACTTGAAACTGTGTCTGTCTGTCTGTCTGCCTAACTGCCTGCCTGACTGTCTGAGTCTGTTTGTCTGTCTGTGTCTGCCTGTCTGTCTGTCTGTCTGTCGGCCTGTCTGTCTGTCTGATTACAGGAAGTGACTTAATTAGGGGTCATAGGGGTGGTTTCGAAGGGTTAAAAAGGTTTAATCTTCCCAAATGTTACATATTTATGACCGGGGGACCTTCATGACCCAGCAAATTTGAAGTAGACCCAAAAGCATTTTTGACCTCCATTGGAAGAAATGGTCTTGCAGTTCAAGAAGCTAAGAGCCTTGTTATGAATTCTTGAATGAATTCTGAAGGGGCTATTGGTCAATTTTTTAAAACTTGAAACAGTCTGTGTCTGCCTGCCTGCCTGCCTGCCTGCCTGCCTGCCCGCCTGCCTGCCTGTCTGTCTAACTGCCTAACTGCCTGCCTGTTGGCCTGCCTGCCTGCCTGCCTGCCTGCCTGCCTGCCTGCCTGCCTGCCTGTGTCTTCATGTCTGTCAGCCTGTGTCTGTCTGTCTGTCTGTGGGAGAGAGGAGCGAGAGGGCGAGAGGGAGTCAACAGACAGACAGACAGACAGAGGGGAGAGAGAGGAGGGAGAGGGAAAGATGAGAGGAAGGGGAGGTAGGGAAAGAACGAGGGAAAGAGAATGGAGGGGGGAGGAGGGAGGAGGGAGAGAGAATAGAGGAGGAGAGAGAGAAGGGTTAGTGAGGGAGAGGGTGAGAGAGGGGTGATGGGGGGTGAAAGAAGGGGAAGGGAGAGAGAAGAGAACGAGGGGGGATAAAGAGGAGGTATGGAGTGAGAGAGAGACAGACATGAGATAAACGAGAAAAATGTCAACCCTTTGACACTCGTCTTTTCACATTGACTGCAATGTATTGAGAAATACATCAACCCTGTGACACCCATCTTGTCCCATTGACTGCAACATATTGAGAAAAACTCAACGCTGTGACACTAATCTTTTCAACCCTGTGACACTCATCTTTTCCCATTGACCACAATGTACTGAAAAAAACCTGTCAGCTACTGTGACATTTTACCTTTTTTCCAAAAACGTGCCAGGATGATGTTTTCCTGTGATATCATGTTGAGAATTGACTGAAAATAAGTGAAGTTACTATCATTCCTTAAATGCAGTCTGTTTTTACATCGCTACTGTATATTGGGAGAGGTGTTGAAATGGTTTAAAACTCTAAAATGTGTGTGGCTTGAGTGTTGCTTGAAGATGAGTTCCTCGCAGCTGTATGTAGTTATGGGTGGTTATAAAGGCTTCTAAGGATGTTATAAAGGCTTGCAAAGATGTTATAAAGGCTCATAAGGTGGTCATAAGGTATAACCTACCTGGGGGAGTTTTTTTGGTCAGGGTGGCCCTGTTGCTTGGCACGCTCCGCCCCGTGGCTCTCTGTGCCTGCAGTGATACCACATAGATGGACTCAGACGCTACGAATAGAGGGACATACCAGACACATAGGCCAGCGTTTACACACTAGGACACACTATGGATGGACACACTACACATAATGTACATACTGTTCACACAATAATATTCTAAATGAGGAGCAAACAGAGTGTGAGAGAGATCCAGATGCTCTTACCTAGTTTGGTGTTGTGTATGTTTCTCTGGTCAGCCTGTGGCTGGGTGTGGTGGTGGTGTTGGGACCTCTGGTCCAGCAGGGGTGTCCCTGCCCTGGCCCTCTCTGGCTGACGAGGGCCGGAGGATGATTGGGGAGGTCTCCGGATCTGCTGCCCCCTGGAAGAGGTCAGGCCTGACGGGCGCACCGTCCCATCAACCCCTGATCCTGTTCCTGTCCTCACAGGGATACTCACAGGGGAGTCAGGCCTGGGCCACACGTCTGGAGTAGGAGATGGACGAGCTGGAAGAGAGAGAAAAATACAGCTGAAGTTGAGTAAGATCATAAGGGACAGTATCTCAGGTTGACATGCTGAGGTAACTGTGTGAGGGCCAGTACCAAGTCTTAAGAAACGCTATTATCACTTCTATGAGTTTCTATCTCATCATTATGTTTTGAAATGTTTCAAATGCCATGGGGAACTTAGGGAAACTCCCCAAATGTCCTACTTTGCCAAAAGCCCTTCCTCTCCAATAATCAGTGTCTGAGACACTGTAACCATGGGAGATGTCACAACGTGGACACAGACAGGGACCAGGGACCACACAGTCTCTCAATGCTCCCACTTCCTGCTTCTTACTTCCTGGTGTAATCATATGATGTCTGACTCCAGCCTGGACAGCCATCTCAGACAGACAGCCAGACAATCCCCCAATCCGTCTTCACCTCCCTTCCCTTGCTTCGCTGGCGTGCCGAGTGATAGCACGGGCAACATAAGGAAAAACATTTCCCTGCCTTCTCCTCATCTCTCATCCCTCTGTATCTCATAATCATTGTCAGATGAAAGGCTCTCTGTCTTCTTTCCCTCAGAGTAAATGTATTCCTATAAAGCAGTGGTTGATACAGTCCTGACAAGTCAGACAGAGTAGATGTGGGCATAAGATAGGGTCAGACAGGGTTAGTCAGTGGACTTTATTACTTGCTGGATCAGTGAGGGAGAGATGAGAAGAGGAGAAGTGAATAAAATTAGAGGTCATAGGAGTTGGGATTAAAGGAGGATAGGACGAGAGGTCCTGGCACGACAAAGTCTGTATGTGAGAGGAGCATCGACTCAACAATCCTCCGACTGCCAGATATCAGCCTCTGTGTTTCCTGGAAGCCTGGATATCCAAGGTGCTACGGGCCAGGGCAGACATACCATTGGTTCGGTTAGATAGAGCCACTGCATAGACTCAGAGCAAAGGGAGAAGAGAGGGGACTGGGCTATGTTTCTCTGTCTAAAACTAAAATGCGAAGGAACACTATCCATTTTGGTGTTACCAGGAGATGATGCGTTGACAGGTGCCCCGTCCACCACTGCGAAGCCATCCAGTTTGACCCATTCACCACCTGGGGAACAGGTAAACATACACAGGTAAACCATAGGGTCTTTGAAATACAGGTGAGCTTTCTATTATGTACATATTATGTACATGTACATATTACCTCAATTACCTCGACTAACCAGTGCCTCCGCACATTGACTCTGTACCGGTACCCCCTGTACAGTGGGGAAAATAAGTATTTAGTCAGCCACCAATTGTGCAAGTTCTCCCACTTAGAAAGATGAGAGAGGCCTGTAATTTTCATCATAGGTACACGTCAACTATGACAGACAAAATGAGGAAAAAAAATCCAGAAAATCACATTGTAGGATTTTTAATGAATTTATTTGCAAATTAAGGTGGAAAATAAGTATTTGGTCAATAACAAAAGTTTCTCAATACTTTGTTATATACCCTTGGTTGGCAATGACACAGGTCAAACGTTTTCTGTAAGTCTTCACAAGGTTTTCACACACTGTTGCTGGTATTTTGGCCCATTCCTCCATGCATATCTCCTCTAGAGCAGTGATGTTTTGGGGCTGTCGCTGGGCAACACGGACTTTCAACTCCCTCCAAAGATTTTCTATGGGGTTGAGATCTGGAGACTGGCTAGGCCACTCCAGGACCTTGAAATGCTTCTTACGAAGCCACTCCTTCGTTGCCCGGGCGGTGTGTTTGGGATCATTGTCATGCTGAAAGACCCAGCCACGTTTCATCTTCAATGCCCTTGCTGATGGAAGGAGGTTTTCACTCAAAATCTCACGATACATGGCCCCATTCATTCTTTCCTTTACACGGATCAATCGTCCTGGTCCCTTTGCAGAAAAACAGCCCCAAAGCATGATGTTTCCACCCCCATGCTTCACAGTAGGTATGGTGTTCTTTGGATGCAACTCAGCATTGTTTGTCCTCCAAACACGACGAGTTGAGTTTTTACCAAAAAGTTATATTTTGGTTTCATCTGACCATATGACATTCTCCCAATCCTCTTCTGGATCATCCAAATGCACTCTAGCAAACGTCAGATGGGCCTGGACATGTACTGGCTTAAGCAGGGGGACATGTCTGCCACTGCAGGATTTGAGTCCCTGGCGGCGTAGTGTGTTACTGATGGTAGGCTTTGTTACTTTGGTCCCAGCTATCTGCAGGTCATTCACTAGGTCCCCCCGTGTGGTTCTGGGATTTTTGCTCACCGTTCTTGTGATCATTTTGACCCCACGGGGTGAGATCTTGCGTGGAGCCCCAGATCGAGGGAGATTATCAGTGGTCTTGTATGTCTTCCATTTCCTAATAATTGCTCCCACAGTTGATTTCTTCAAACCAAGCTGCTTACCTATTGCAGATTCAGTCTTCCCAGCCTGGTGCAGGTCTACAATTTTGTTTCTGGTGTCCTTTGACAGCTCTTTGGTCTTGGCCATAGTGGAGTTTGGAGTGTGACTGTTTGAGGTTGTGGACAGGTGTCTTTTATACTGATAACAAGTTCAAACAGGTGCCATTAATACAGGTAACGAGTGGAGGACAGATGAGCCTCTTAAAGAAGAAGTTACAGGTCTGTGAGAGCCAGAAATCTTGCTTGTTTGTAGGTGACCAAATACTTATTTTCCACCATAATTTGCAAATAAATTCATTAAAAATCCTACAATGTGATTTTCTGGATTATTTTTTCTCAATTTGTCTGTCATAGTTGACGTGTACCTATGATGAAAATTACAGGCCTCTCTCATCTTTTTAAGTGGGAGAACTTTGTAACACTCTGGCTCCGGGACTTTTGGATTTGAGCCAGGGTGTATTTGTTTTGTTGGGTATTTGTTGTGGGGTTGGTTGTAAGGGTGTATTCGGTTGGTTGTGTTTTGGGTGTGTTTCTATGTTGGTAGTTCTGTTGTGTGTATTTCTAGGTTTGGTCATTGACTCCCAATCGGAGGTAACGAGTGTCAGCTGTCGGCTCGTTATCTCTGATTGGGAGCCATATTTATTCTGTATGTTTTCTTGTGGGCATTGTGGGTTATTGTTCCTGTTTAGTCTTTGTCACTATTGGACTTCACATTCGTCGCGTTGATTTGTTGTTTTGTCGTGCTTTAACTTAATAAAGTACCATGTTCGTTTCACACGCTGCGCCTTGGTCTCCTTCACTCCTCGACGATCGTGACAGAATAACCCACCATAAAAGGACCAAGCGGCGTGTCAAGCGGCAACAGGATCCACCTACACAGGATTTATATCCACCCATAAAGGATTCATGGACATGGGAGGAGATTCTGGATGGTAAGGGGCCTTGGGCACAACCGGGAGAATATCGCCGTCCTCGTGAAGAGCTGGAGGCAGCTAAAGCCGAGAGGCGGCGATATGAGGAGGCAGCACGGAGGCAAGACTGGAAGCCTGTGGGTACTACCCAAGAATTTCTTGGGGGGGGGCTAAGAGGGAGTGTGGCGAAGTCAGGTAGGAGACCTGCGCCTACTCTCTGGACTGACCGTGGAGAGCGAGAGTACGGGCAGACACCGTGTTACGCAGTTGAGCGCATGGTGTCTCCTGTACGCAGGCATAGCCCGGTTCGGTACAGTCCAGCTCCACGTATCGGCCGGGCCAGATTGAGTGTTGAGCCGGATGTCATGAAGCCGGTCCCACGCAGCAGGTCACCAGTGCGTCTCCTCGGGCCGGCGTACATGGCACCAGCCTTACGCATGGTGTTCCCGGTTCGCCCACATAGGCCGGTGCGGGTTATTCCACCTCCCCGTACTGGTCGGGCGACGGGGAGCATCAACCCAGGTAAGGTTGGGCAGGCTCAGTGCTCAAGGGAGCCAGTACGCCTGCACGGTCCGGTACTTCCGGCGCCACCTCCTCGCTCCAGCCCAGTACCACCAGTACCTACACCTCGCACCAGGTTTCCTGTGCGTCTTCAGAGCCCGGTGTCTCCTCCACGCACTGGCTCGATGGTGCGTGTCTCCAGCCCTTTACCACCAGTGCATACACCACGCACCAAGCCTCCTGTGTGTCCCCAGAGTCCTGTGCGTCCTGTTGCTGCTTCCCGCACTAGCCCTGAGATGCGTGTCCTCAGCCCGGTACCTCCAGTTCCGGCACCACGCATCAGGCCTACGGTGCGTCCCCAGGGCCAAGCATGCCCTGTTGCTTCTCCCCGCACTAGCCCTGAGATGCGTGTCCTCAGCCCGGTACCTCCTGTTCCGGCACCACGCACCAGGCCTACGATGCGCCTCAGACGGCCAGAGTCTGCCGTCTGCCCAACGGGGCCTGAACTGTCCGTCTGCCCAACGCCGTCTGAAATGTCCGTCTGCCCAACGGCGCCTGAACTGCCCGTCTGCCCAACGCCGTCTGAACTGTCCGTCTGCCAAGCGCCGCAGGAACTGCCCGTCTGTACTGAGCCTGCAAAGCCGCCCGTCTGCCATGAGCCTTCAGAGCCGTCCGCCAGACCGGAGCCGCTAGAGCTCTCCGCCAGACAGGAGCAGCCAGAGCCTTCCGCCAGACAGGATCAGCCAGAGCCTTCCGCCAGACAGGATCAGCCAGAGCCTTCCGCCAGACAGGATCAGCCAGAGCCTTCCGCCAGCCAGGATCCGCCAGAGCCGTCCAGCCAGGATCCGCCAGAGCCGTCCAGCCAGGATCCGCCAGAGCCGTCCAGCCAGGATCCGCCAGAGCCGTCCAGCCGGGATCCGCCAGAGCCTTCCAGCCGGGATCAGCCAGAGCCTTCCGCCAGCCAGGATCCGCCAGAGCCGTCCAGCCAGGATCCGCCAGAGCCGTCCAGCCAGGATCCGCCAGAACCAGCTAGTCAGGTACTGTCCCTTAGTCCGGTGCTGCCCCTTAGTCCGGTGCTGCCCCTTAGTCCGGTGCCGCCCCTTAATCCAGTGGGGTTTAATTGGGGGGTGGTCATGTGGAGGAGGCTAGGGAAGCGGGTGGTGACTAAGGTGGGGTGGGGACCACGACCAGGGCCAGAACCGCCACTGTGGACAGACGCCCACCCAGACCCTCCCCGAGACTGTATGCTGGTGCGCCCGGAGTGCGCACCTTTAGGGGGGGGTACTGTAACACTCTGGCTCCGGGACTTTTGGATTTGAGCCAGGGTGTATTTGTTTTGTTGGGTATTTGTTGTGGGGTTGGTTGTAAGGGTGTATTCGGTTGGTTGTGTTTTGGGTGTGTTTCTATGTTGGTAGTTCTGTTGTGTGTATTTCTAGGTTTGGTCATTGACTCCCAATCGGAGGTAACGAGTGTCAGCTGTCGGCTCGTTATCTCTGATTGGGAGCCATATTTATTCTGTATGTTTTCTTGTGGGCATTGTGGGTTATTGTTCCTGTTTAGTCTTTGTCACTATTGGACTTCACATTCGTCGCTTTGATTTGTTGTTTTGTCGTGCTTTAACTTAATAAAGTACCATGTTCGTTTCACACGCTGCGCCTTGGTCTCCTTCACTCCTCGACGATCGTGACAAACTTGCACAATTGGTGGCTGACTAAATACTTTTTTCCCCCACTGTATATAGCCTCGCTACTGTTATTTTATTTTACTGCTGCTCTTTAATTATTTTCTTTTTTCTTTTTTTTTACTTAACACTTTTTTTATTTCTTTAAAAACTGCATTGGTTAAGGGCTTGTAAGTAAGCCTTTCACTGTAATGTCTACACCTGTTGTATTCGGCACGTGGCAAATAAACTTTGATTTGATTTATTAGTACTGGAAAGTATGATGTTATTGTTACAGACATTTCAGTCAAGTTGTCACTCTCTCTCTCTCTCTCTCTCTCTGTTTCTCCCCATCTCTCTCCCTCCTTCTGTCTCTCTCCCTTTCCCTCTCTCCCTCTCTTCCTCTCCATCCGTAAGTCATATTATGGGCATGTTGTTATAATAGAGCGCTAAGTCTGGCCAGACGCATTAATGATGCAGAAGCAACATGGTGTTATTTACGGTGACTAATGCTGCTAGTATGCTGTGGGAACAGATCGATCTGCAAGGAGCACATCGTCTCACACACACGCGCGCGCACACACACACAAGCGTCTGCACTGATTTATGTGAATAGTGTTGGATAGACCGCTGGGACCACAACACGACACACACACACACACACACACACACACACACACACACACACACACACACACACACACACACACACACACACACACACACACACACACACACACACACACACACACACACACACACACACACACACACACACACACACACACACACATCCAGACATACATGCAGTGAGCAACCACAACTTTGACAGATGGGGTACACAGACACACACACACGCATTGACGCACACACGCACAAGCTCAAGCACACACACACCTCCCGGTCCCTCCACACACACACACGCACACACACACAGACAGAGAGTCAGTGATTAACCACAACACATGGGTTTGGGTTATTGGACCGAGGCTGAGATTGGAAGGGGAAAACAAGGGCTGGCCCCACGCTTGGGCTGCTGATGAAGTATAGCCCTGTGATGCCAAGCTCCAAGCTCAGAGGAAAATGGAATAATGACAAAAGCAGGCTTGGTAGCTTTTATACTGCAGCAACTGCTGCTGCCTATGTGTATAAACACTTCAGGTCTTGAATTGGGTTTTATAAGGTGAGATTAAGAATAACCAGAGAAACCCTTAAAGCCCAAAAAAGAATGCCCCAGTAAAAATCTAAAATAACTATGCTGATACTGCCTCTCAGTACTCATGTTTTAGTTGGGGTTTGTTGTGACTGTAAAAACACTGTTAGCCCAAACTACACGTTTAACAACATGTGTTAAAATAGGTCTCCCACCTTCTGGTTTACAGTGGAACACGTACTGCCAGCACGCATACACGCACACACACGCATAAACGCAAGCACATGCACATGCACACACACACACACACACCTCACCTCCTGGTGTCTCTGCTCTGTACACAGGTTTGCTCATCCCCTCCTCGTTCTCGGCACTCATCTTGAGAAAGTGCAGAACTCCGGGCTCTGAAACACACTCCGTAGTTTAGGCAAAACCTCGCTCTTTCTCTCCCTCTGTCTCTCTAACATTCTCTCTCTGTGCTCCACTCTGCCTGTCTGTACCTCAGAGAGAAAAAGAGCTCCTGCAGAGAGCAGACTAAGAGATATCCCCATTTGGTTTCAATCGTCTCTGTCTCTGTCTCTGTCTCTGTCTCTGTCTCTGTCTCTGTCTCTGTCTCTGTCTCTGTCTCTCTCTCTCTCTCTCTCTCTCTCTCTCTCTCTCTCTCTCTCTCTCTCTCTCTCTCTCTCTCTCTCTTGCCACTCTCTCTTACCTACATCCTCCAGTACCTCAGACCGTCTGTCCTTGTCCACCTTGATGAAGCGCAGTGTCCTCATGGACTTGCCGTAGCCAATGTTGTAGCGGTCCACCGGCCGACCGTCCAGCTCATTGGGAGGTTCCCAGCTTACCCTCAGGCCCTTGTCCACCGACGTCAGCTGCACGTTACGCGGCCGCAGGGGCTTATCGGCTAACACACACACACACACCCCACAACACACACACACACACACACACACACACACACACATAAAATGTTCAATAAATTAAAGCATTCTAGAATACTAAATGTTGGTAAATATTCAAAAGAAGGAGGAGAAGGGGCTGATCAATGAAATGAAAACAAGATTTCTGTCTTCTTTTTACCTGCATTTATTCCAAACAAAGCAAATACCAGTATAATACAATTTTAAAAAACAAAATACATATGGAAAGAAAACATTTGTGATCTCTTTGTATATCCTTTCTTTTGATAGTGTTGAAAATGTATTAAAACATTAATATAAAACTCCCAATGTAACCTGTATGAATGGAGGGTGTGAGTGTGCAGTTGATACATCTCCAGCAGTTGATAATGATTCAGCATCGATAACACTCCAGTTGTGATGCTCACGAAGAACATAACATAACTGAATTCATCACGATCACAAACAATGCCAGTAAGACTGCTATTGATTTTCTTTAAATACACCTATTGTTTGCACAGATAACACATCTTCAGCTGATTCTTATCTTCTGTAATGCCAAAATACATGTATTACACATAGTCAAAGGGGTGCACAGGAGTTATGGTTACAGTACATATGTATCTGCTAAGTGAATATGAAACATCATGAAGTCCTGAACTGTCTAAAGATATCCCCATCTGATGCTCATGATCAGTGTGCAACCTCTCCAACAGGGTGGCTTCATCATCACATTCACTAACTGTCTGTAGAAGTCTCCTACAGTAGTTTCCAGGTGTCAGTTCAGTTAGAATCCTCCTCGCTCATCAATTCCAGGTGGAAATCAGGGTTTCATGATCCAAAACAGTTTGTGGGAGCCACTAGTAACTCCTGTCAATCCAACTGCAGTAAGCAGGCTCCCAACTCTTTATTGGACTGATCTGTTGTCTCTGCCTTCCTCTATATTTTTCCTGTGTGCTGAAAGCGCTTCTCATCACTATGTCTGCTTACTGTATGATGCAACCGCTCTGGCGCCTAGTCCAGGAACACAGAACCTAACACGATAACTGGAGATACATGTGTGTGTGTGAGAGGGAGAGAGCGACACAGTGTGTGTGTGTGTGAGAATGTGACACAGTGTGCAGTGTGTTTGTGTGTGTGTGTGAGAAAGCGACACAGTGTGCAGTGTGTTTTTGTGTGTGTGTGTGCCTGCATGATTGTGTGTGTGTATGTTTGTGTGTACGCTAGACAACGTCTTAAAACAAGAACATAAAACTCTACCTCTTTATTACTCCTTCATTAATTCAGGCTTAAGATGGTGTGTGCCTCATCAGCTGTTGGAGACGTACAGTAAGGACATAACTCTGGAGCCGCATCAAACACAGGCGCACTGTTTCCAATAAAAGGCAGTATTACGTAGGAAGAGATTGGCTCCTTCCCTCCCTCTATCCAGACATCGATCTATGATTTGGCTTGTTTGGAAATGTATGATCCGAGGACGAGGCAGGAGTTGTCATTGAATCAAGAGTCTTTAAAGTGCAAAGATCACTGTCTAATAATAAACCATTTATGGAGGGAGCGAGTTAACTGTGAAGCTAATATCATAATCTAGATAGTCTGGCTGGAGTTCAAGAGGTTGTAGTGTAACTGTGGTAATTATATTTATGCTGTTTTATAGCGTCATACTAATTTGGCTTTTATTTGTTTATTCCCAAGATAACCCTAAAATACTGTGCATGTGTGTTTGTGTGTGTGTATGTGAGAGAGAGAGATTATGATAGTTTGACTATGTAAGGAATGAGGAAAGTTTTAGTGTTGTGTAAGGGGAAATGTGTGAAAGTGTGTGTGTCCCTGGTTTTTAGGAAAGTGTGTGTGTGTGTGTGTGTGTGTGTGTGTGTGTGTGTGTGTGTGTGTGTGTGTGTGTGTGTGTGTGTGTGTGTGTGTGTGTGTGTGTGCAACAGAGCAAGCAGCATGTGCAGAAGTAAGCCCTAAGGTTATGTCTTAGCCTCTTCTAAAAATTGTCTTGGAAACCCTCTGGGTCATGCACCTGTGCTTCTCTGCAGGTCTGATTTGTATAGCCTGCCAACCCCTTTTTCCCCACAACACACACACACGCATACACACACACACACTGACCTCAATATGCCCTCTAACCCACATACAACCCTCCACAAATTCACAGAACCAGTGAAACCATGGCCCAATATCCCTTCCTCATCCCTTCACAAAATCAATACACCAACCCCAAACCATCATGACATCATGGTTCTCTATAACCAGCAGAGGGTATGAGTAAAACTACACTGCAATGATGCCTACTGCTAATCCTGTGAATTAGGAGTTCACCTTTTCTCTCTATACAAACACATTTCCTCTAACACACACACTCTCTACACACACTCTCTCTCTCTATCTATGTGACAGATGTTCACATCGCCCAGGTGCTACCTGTTTACCCAAACATAGCCACGCCCAGAGATGACATCATGACGTGAGACCCATCAGCGGCAGGGTTGACGGACACCTGAGTGACACGTGAGAGAGCCTGGGTCGGCCCCACGTCAGGTGATCAAACACTTTCGCAGTCGACACGTTGGAAAGTATTAGCTACATGCTGTCTCTCCCTGTCTGTAAGTCTCAATACATGTTTCTCTCTACCTGGATTTTCCCCTGTGTTACAGTTCAAGCCCAAAGCTCAATCTGAGATCTGCCAATCAAGTGCTCCTGTAGAATTCCTCTTGGTGAGGTGGAATGGAGAAATTCCTGTGGCTTGTGAGGACATGATTCCCGCTTTTCCCCTTCTGCTTTTCTCTAACTTGAATCTCTCTTTCTCTCTCTCTCTCTCTCTCTCTCGGTCATCCAACCAATGACCTCCTTTCCACTCTGTTCAAGAGCCAGGTCCCTCCCCAGAACTCCTCTTACTCTGTTCATCACAATGCTAGTGCCAGACTTGGCTAGGCTTTTGGGGATTTTAGACTTTTGTGCTTTTACTAAGTGCTTATCGTAAGAAATGAATAGCCCTCAGTACTATGTGGAAGTGTGGAGGAGTGAAGAGGAGTAAAAGAGGAAGGGGGAGCAGTGGACAAGAAAAGGACTAAACCACAACAAACAGCATCTAAGTTTGTAGACTCAGAATTCATTGGATGACCTCACTCACTAAGCATGTACTGTCTGAGAGAATGAAAGAGAGAGAGAGAGAGAGAGAGAGAGAGAGAGAGAGAGAGAGAGAGAGAGAGAGAGAGAGAGAGAGAGAGAGAGAGAGAGAGGAGAGAGAGAGAGAGAGAGGGGGGGGGGGGAGAGAGAGAGAGAGAGAATAGAGAAAGTGAGTAAAGACCGGAATTAGAAATAAGAAAGTCAGACAGAGAGGGTTAAGAAAGATTTAATGAGAAATGGAGAGAGATAGAGAGAGGAGATAGGGGAGAGAGGGTAAGGGAGAAGAGAGGGCTATTGTAACGTAGCAGCTAAATCAGCTCAACAGGGATTAGCTGGCTACTCTTCTCCAAAACTCTAGCTTTTAAAAAAAGAAAGTGGTCTGACGAACACGCTGTAGCTCGGCGAGCTTCCACCGCGGTGCTGGAGGCATCACTACAGACCTGTGTTTGATCACATGCTGTGTCACAGCTGCCGCGACCGGGAGACCCATGAGGCGGCGCACAATTGGCCCAGCGTCGTCCGGGTTAGGGGAGGGTTTGGCCGGCCGGGATGTCAATTACGATCTGGATAAGAGCGTCTGCTAAATGACAAAAATGTAAATGTAAATGTAAATGTCCTTGTCCCATCGCACTCTAGCGACTCCTTGTGGCGGGCTGGGCACATGCACGCTGACTTCGGTCGCCAGTTGTATGGCGTTTCCTCCGACACATTGGTGTGGCTGGCTTCCGGGTTAAGCGAGCAGTGTGTCAAGAAGCAGTGCGGCTTGCCAGGGTCGTGTTTCAGAGGACGCATGGCTCTCGACCTTCGCCTCTCCCGAGTCCGTACGGGAGTTGCAGCGATGGGACTGAATTAGGTAGCTGGATTTATCTCCCCAGAGACAACCAAAGAGAAATCCTGATTGGATTTAAAAAATATATTTAAAGACTGTAACTACCAATTGGATATCACAAAAAAGGGGTAAAAAGTAAAAAAGTAAAACAAATTAAAATAATGATAATATAATTTAAATACCACTTAAATATTTTTGAAAAGTGGAAATAGAAATGAAAATGAAATGTATATTTAAAAACTAAAACAACAATACATTAAGACCAAAAAGTACATTTTTGTTTTCATGGATTTTTACAGTGCCTTCAGAAAGTATTCACACTCCTTGACTTTTTCCACATTTTGTTGTGTTATAGTCTGCATTTCAAATGGATTAAATTACGATTTTTAGTCACTGGCCTACACACAATACCCCATAATGTCAATGTGGAATTATGTTTTTTCTAAAATGAAAAGCTGAAAAGTGTTGAGTCAATAAGAATTCAACCCCTTTGTTATGTCAAGCCTAAATAAGTTAAAGAGTAACAATTTGCTTAACAAGTCACATAGTCATATGGAATTGTTTTAAGGTGGTCATACCATGGATCATTTAGGTATCAAAAAAATATAACAATATTTGATACAATTTTGAATTTGGCCATTACTACTATAACCCATAGACACACTTTGAATAATCCATTCATAAATGTCAAAACAGACAGTCACAAAATAAATCATAAGGAATAAGGTTTTGAAGTGTCTTTCCTATATCTAGGAGATATAAGAAAGCTTAGGAAATATTTGTGTTTTTGGACACATATTTTGCCCCTTTTTTGGGGGGGGGCACAAATCTACCTCCATACTTCCATTATTTTTTTAAAACCGGTACCGGTTACCTTCAGATGAGTCCTGTGACACTTGTGGAGGTCGTAGAGCAAAACGGAGAATCTCCCCTTTCCATAGTGGGGTCATATTAGTTTGTAGCCCAAACAGTTTGGACGCTACAGACAGAAGTTGGCACATCTGCGGTACCGACTTCAGATGAGTCCCATGGGGTTTGTGGGGGTCGTAGAGCAAAACGGAAAACACCATCCTGTTCGAGAGAGTCTCATCTTTCCATAGAGTGGTCGACACGCTACAAACGTTTTTGTGAGAAGACCGAATTTGAGGATGTCTCATGGTCTGACAAACACAGCTGTAGCTCGGTGACCTTCCACCACAGATGTGGAAGGCGGACGTAGGCAGATGCGTTGGATTGAGACGCAGCCCATATCTCTAGCTTAAACTGACGGATTTTGATGAGGATTTTTTTTACAAATGTTACTTAGATTGACGCACGGGGGAGTCAATAGACTCTTATTAACATGATTTTTGAATGGCTACCTCATCTGAGTACCCACACATACAGATAATTGTAAGGTCCCTCAGTCGAGCAGTGAATTTTAAACACAGATTCAACCACAAAAAGCAGGGCGGTTTTCAAATGCCTCGCAAAGAAGGGCACCTATTGGTAGATGGGTAAAAAAAAATTAGACGTCCTTCATAACTCAGTTCCCGGAGAGGAAGGAAACCGCTCAGGGATTTCAGCATGAGGCCAATGGTGACTTTAAAACAGTTACAGAGTTGAATGGCTGTGATTGGAGAAAACTGAGGATGGATCAACAACATTGTAGTTACTCCACAACACTAACCTAACTGACCCTGTATAGAATAAAAGCAATTCACTTTCTGTCCTGAATAGAAAGTGTTATGTTTGGGGCAAATCCAATACAACACATTACTGAGTACCATTCTCCATATTTTCAAGCAAAGTGGTGGCTGCATCATGTTATCGGTATGCTTGTAATCGTTAAGGACTGGGGAGTTTTCAGGATAAAAAATTAACGTAATGGAGCTAAGCACAGGCAAAATCCTAGAGGCAAACCTGGTTCAATCTGCTTTCCACCAGACATTGGGATATTAATTCACCTTTCACAGGACAATGACCTAAAATACAAGGCCAAATCTACACTGGAGTTCACAGGAGGTTGCTGCTTGGGAGAACGGCTAATAACTCCAGAATGGAGTGAATGGAATGGCATCAAACACCTGGAAACCATGTGTTTGATGTATTTGATACCATTCCACCGACTCCGCTCCAGTCATTACCACAAGCCCGTTCTCCCCAATTAAGGTGCCACCAACCTCCTGTGCTGGAGTTGCTTACCAAGAAGACAGTGAATGTTCCTGAGTGGCCGAGTTACAGTGTTGATTTAAATCTATTTGGATATCTATGGCAAGACCTGAAAATGGTTGTCTAGCAATGATCAACAACCAATTTGACAGAGCTTGAAGAATTTTGAAAATAATAATGGGCAAATGGTGTGGAAAGTTCTTAGAGACTTACCCAGAAATACTCACAGCTGTAATCAATGCCAAAAGTGCTTCTACAAAGTATTGACTCAGGGGTGTGAATACCTATATAAATGAGATATTTCTTTATTTAATTTTCAAAAAATTTGCCAAATTTTCTAAAAGCATATTTTCACTTTGTCATTGAGGGGTATTGTGTGTATAATCTATTTAATCCATTTTGAATTCAGGCTGTAACACAACAAAATATGGAATAAGTCAAGGGGTATGAATACTTTCTGAAGGCACTGTATAGTCAACTTTGACTTTGCAGCTGGCCCATCTAGAGGAAATCCTTCAGCTCTGCCTCCAGGACAAGATTCATCCCAATAAAAGTCCAACTGATAATACGTGGATGCTATAGTGACACCTAGATGCAGAAGGAGCGAGATTGACAGAAACTTTATGAGAAAGTCAACCACTTCCTCCTTGCCCCCTCTCCCTGCGATGTTGGAGTTGCTACTCGCGCCAATTAGATCACCCTTCTGGCACTGTGACGTCCCATTATAAATCAAAGCAGTTTTTTCTTTATATTTGTGTTCTGGTGATTGATTCTAACCATATGGCTTACGATCTAATATTGTCATCTTATTTTAATTGTAGAGTAAAGCTACTTCAGTGTGCGCCTATGAGGTAAACGCATATTCCATAATTCCTGCGCTCAAAAGGATACATCACATTTTCCTTCCAGACCAGAAACGATGAAAGACCTAGTTTCACGGTCCAAATTCATTATTATTGCTCACTTTGACTGGTATGTTCTTTCCCCATCTGCAAACTGTTAAGCATTTTTCTTTTGATAATTTGTCCACAAAATAATAGACTTTCCCTCCTCTTTTGCATAGTTTGTTTATGCCACACAAACCAGAAGATTTGCTAAAATTATTCTCTCACACACACACTTTCTCCTGCAATGCGACGTGGTCATTATAATCTATGTCCAAGCAGCAGGTCAATTAGAAGCTATCGGTTTCTTGACATGATATAAAACAAACAAAGAAAAACAATTGCCGATTGGGAAATGGATATATTATATTGATCGGGTAAACAAATAATCCATTGATTATCGATTAGGCTATTAGCCCAGCTCCACCAATCCCAGACATAAATCAATCAATAAAGTACTACCTCACTAGTGAAAAACTGAAACCATGCATCTGCTCTGAAAATCAAAATCAAAAGGGTGATTTTACCTGTTAATCCAGTACTTGATGCACAGAAGGTGACGAAAAGCACTAAGAGAGTCCGTGCTGCGGTGGATGCCATAGTGAGTCTAGCGCTCTAGTCCTGCGGTGCTGCGCAACGGAGGGAGAGAGAAGGCTGGCTGGACTGGGAGCACCTTCAGCGGGGATGGTTGTAACCAGATGCCTCTGGTTTTCAGGGGAAACCATAGAGTAAGATAGAGGACTCGTCTTTGTATCTGTGCCATAATAGCGTCTGTGACAGCATGGGCAGTGCCATTGAGGCAATCTCCATTTTGAAATAGTAAAATGTATTCTTCACGATTGGCTGATCCCTCCTGATGACTCTGTTGGACATGACTCCAATAGGGCCATCAGGAGGGATCAGCCAATGAAGTTGGAAGTAGTACATTAAAATGGTGGAAGCCCTCAATGGCGCTGCCGTTGCTAATACGGCCTTTTGATCACTAGAGGCCGCTATCATTCTCTATAGGGGAAATGGAAGACAGCCTGTGACACGACTTCTGCTTTTGGATGTTAACCAGTATTTCAGTATACCAGATATACTTCAGAGGAGATAGGAATCTCAGTGGCCAATGAATGGGGAAACGTATAATGCCCCACCCAGCAGCCTGTTGACCAATCGCGTTCACGTTGTCAGGCTGCGTCACGCTGTTGCTAAGCTAATCATCAAACAATCCCTTCTAAAAGTCAGGGTATGAGTCGAGAAACCTGCCTATTTTCCTCAAAATAACTTAACGTCACAAGCTTCTTGTTCACATAATTCATGCTCATGTCGGGTTTTTCTGCTAGCGCCCAAATGACTGCCATTGACTCCTTGAATGAGAGATTTCCTTGTCGGAGTGTACCCAGAATGCACTGCGCGGCCCATTGACAACGTACGGGCAACGTACACAGTGGGCTTTGATACAATTCCAATGGAGTTTCCCATCTCCTCAAAGGTATCTCTGGTATTTCTGAGTTAACAAGGCAATACTCCATCTTAACTCCTCCTCCACATTTGCTGGATTGGTTGAACAGTGCAGAAGAGAACCTCCCCCGACAGTTAAAGAAGGAAAATGCCGCTCAGACGTTTATTTTACACCTGACAAGTTAGGTTAGCTGGGAGCGGTGGGACAGACAGACCATTGGCGCTCTGTTCCCCCTACATCTGTCTCCCGCTTTCGGACCATGATGGAGGAATGGGACTAACCCCATATTTGCATGATTCCGGAGCTAGAGTCTATAGCAAGGGAAATTAGGCCTAAATCAGTTTTCAGAGCTGTATGCTACCATTTGGCAGAAAGAAAGAAAAGTCTCACTGTCAAAAGCTGTGAGCTGCTATGTCCAAATTCTCAGTCAACCTGTCTTTCTGAAGTGCATGTAATAGGGTAGGAACCAAAGTTTTTCATTAGTGTTTTCCAGGAGACAATTATTATTGGGGAACATGAATGTATAAAATCAAACATTATATATAGGGTTATACTTGCACCCCCTTCCCACTGGGCACAGATGTCAGTTCAACGTTTAGTATTGATTTACATTTGGTTGAGTTATCAGCAAATGTGAATTCAACGTGAAATCAACAACAAAAAACGCACCATGTCATTGGATTTGGGTTAAAAGTTGGGTGAAAAACATATGAAATTCCCTTACGTTGTTTCCTTTTTTCAAATACAATCAGTTTTCCACGTTGATTCAACAGATGATGCAATCTCTATTGCACTCCATACTACCCTTTCACACCTGGACAAAAGGAACACCTATGTGAGAATGCTATTCATTGACTACAGCTCAGCGTTCAATACCATATTGCCCTCAAAGCTCATCACTAAGCTAAGGACCCTGGGACTAAATACCTCCCTCTGCAACTGGATCCTGGACTTCCTGACGGGCCACCCCCCAGGTGGTAAGGGTAGGTAACAACACATCTGCCACGCTGATCCTCAACACAGGGGCCCCTCAGGGGTGCGTGCTCAGTCCCCTTCTGTACTCCCTGTTCACTCATGACTGCATGGCCAGGCACGACTCCAACACCATCATTAAGTTTGCCGATGACACAACAGTGGTAGGCCTGATCATCGACAACAATGAGACAGCCTATAGGGAGGAGGTCAGAGACCTGGCTGTGTGGTGCCAGGACAACAACCTCTCCCTCAACGTGATCAAGACAAAGGAGATGATTGTGGACTACAGGAAAAGGAGGACCGAGAACACTCCCATTCTCATCGACGGGGCTGTAGTGGAGCAGGTTGAGAGCTTCAAGTTCCTTTGTGTCCACATCACCAACGAACTAACATGGTCCAAGCACACCAAGACAGTTGTGAAGAGGGCACAGCAAAACCTATTCCCCCTCAGGAGACTGAAAAGATTTGGCATGGGTCCTAAGATCCTCAAAAGGTTCTGCAGCTGCACCATCGAGAGCATCCTGACTGGTTGCATCACTGCCTGGTATGGTAACTGCTCGGCCTCCGACTGCAAGGCACTACAGAGGGTAGTGTGTACAGCCCAGGACATCACTGAGGCCAAGATCTACGCTGCTGCAACTCTCTGTTTATTATATATGCATAGTCATTTTAATAACTCTACCTACATGTACATATTACCTCAATTACCTCGACTAACCAGTGCCCCCACACATTGACTCGGTACTGGTACCCCCTGTATATAGCCTCGCTATTGTTATTTTACTGCTGCTCTTTCATTGTTTGTTACTTTTCTTTCTTATTTTTGTAGGTATTCTTTCTTAAAACTGCATTGTTGGTTAAGGGCTTGTAAGTAAGCATTTCACTGTAAGCTCTACACCTGTTGTATTCGGCGCATGTGACAAATACAATTTGATTTGATTTGATCACATTTACTTTTCTGGTTGAAATTATGTGAAAACATCTTTGATTCAACCAGTTCTTGCACAGTGGGTTGCTACTGTTCAGATGATTGCTTTGTCCTGAAGGGTTTGCGCCTTCCCTCCCATAACCTGAAAGGGCAATTCCAACTTCTCAGCCTCACAGTCATTATCTCCAGCACCAAACCTGTGTCTACATACAGTTGAAGTCGGAAGTTTACATACACTTATGTCATTTTTTCAACCACTCCACACATTTCTTGTTAACAAACTATAGTTTTGGCAAGTCGGTTAGGACATCTACTTTGTGCATGACAAGTCATTTTTCCAAACAAATTTTTACAGACATATAATTCACTGTATCACAATTCCAGCGGGTCAGAAGTTTACATACACTAAGTTGACTGTGCCTTTAAACAGCTTGGAAAATTCCAGAAAATGATGTCATGGCTTTAGAAGCTTCTGATAGGCTAAATGACATCATTTAAGTCAATTGGAGGTGTACCTGTGGATGTATTTCAAGAACTACCTTCAAACTCAGTGCCTCTTTTCTTGACATCATGGGGAAAATCAAAAGAAATCAGCCAAGACCTTAGAAAAAAATATTGTAGACCTCCACAAGTCTGGTTCATCCTTGGGAGCAATTTCCAAATGCCTGAAGGTACCACGTTCATCTGTACAAACAATAGTACGCAAGTATAAACACCATGGGACCACGCAGCCGTCATACCGCTCAGGATGTAGACGCGTTCTGTCTACTAGAGATGAACATACTTTGGTGCGAAAAGTGCAAATCAATCCCAGAACAAGAAGATGCTGGAGGAAACAGGTACAAAAGTATCTATAGCCACAGTAAAACAAGTCCTATATCTTCATAACCTGAAAGGCCGCTCAGCAAGGAAGAAGCCACTGCTCCAAAACCGCCATATAAAAGCCAGACTACGGTTTGCAACTGCACATGGGGACAAAGATCGTACTTTTTGGAGAAATGTCCTCTGGTCTGATAAAACAAAAATATAAATGTTTGGCCATAATGACCATCGTTATGTTTGGAGGAAAAAGGGGAACGCTTGCAAGCTGAAGAACACCATCCCAACCGTGAAGCACGGGGGTGGCAGCATCATGCTGTGGGGTTGCTTTTCTGCAGGAGGGACTGGTGTACTTCACAAAATAGATGGCATCATGAGGAAGGAAAATTATGTAAGATATATTGAAGAAACATCTCAAGACATCAGTCAGGAAGTTAAAGCTTGTTCGCAAATGGGTCTTCCAAATGGACAATGACCCCAAGCATACTTCCAAAGTTGTGGCAAAATGGCTTAAGGACAACAAAGTCAAGGTATTGGAGTGGCCATCACAAAGCCCTGACCTCAATCCTATAGAAAATGTGTGGGCAGAGCTGAAAAGGCGTGTGCGAGCAAGGAGGCCTACAAACCTGACTCAGTTACACCAGCTCTGTCAGGAGGAATGGGCCAAAATTCACCCAACTTATTGTGGGAAGCTTGTGGAAGGCTACCCGAAATGTTTGACCCAAGTTAAACAATTTAAAGGCAAGGCTACCAAATACTAATTGAGTGTATGTAAACTTCTGACCCACTGGGAATGTGATGAAATAAATCAAAACTGAAATAAATCATTCTCTCTACTATTATTCTGACATTTCACATTCTTAAAATAAAGTGGTGATCCTAACTGACCTAAGACAGGGAATTTTTACTAGGATTAAATGTCAGGAATTGTGAAAAACTGAGTTTAAATGTATTTGGCTAAGGTGTATGTAAACTTCCGACTTCAACTGTATGTGACATCACAGGGTAGGATTAAAAGTAAGAACAATTTTGATTTTCAAAACCTGCCTAGCCCACATTACCGCGGATCTCATAGTGTTTGAAAATCACTGTTTTTAAAAACTTTACATATGTATTTTTGTAATTGTAGAAATGCGCCGTTTTCACATCTGTGGACACCGGTATTGTGCTGGATATAATAAAAATGAGGTTGAAAAGTGGTGGAGTTGCCCTTTAAGTGTACTGCAAGGAGGACCTAAGCCTTGGTAAAAGGAAAAGTCACCTGGCAGTTTTACAAACATTCACATTAGTTCCCCGTGTCCTGTGAGGGTGGAGATGAGAATGCTTGCCCCCCGAAACAGCGTAGCGGTAATAAATACAACTCTTCAAAGCAGTGTAGACTGGCCTATCTTGTAACATCTGCCGTTTGACTTCTGGGCCCGCATGGCTATGCTTGGGTTTTTGGTTCTCAGTTTAAATGGTTTTATTGTTCCCTCGGTGAAGGAATGCATTCCTCCCGGTGTTACGTTCCCCAGCAGGCCAGAAGTAGTTATGCAAGACACAGTCATACGTCTTGTTGACCCCAAGATGGCCTGCCATACTACTATCATGAGCCAACCTCGGTATCTCTTGTCGAATTGTAACTGGAACAACAATTTGTGACACACTGGGACAATCATCTTGCCCAGAAGTGGCGCGAGAACATAATTTCCTCATTAGAACACCATCTCTGTCAAAGTAACCCACACAAACTTCATCAAAGTTTGTCCTGCAACAGGTGTGGCTGAAATAGCTGAATCCACTCATTTGAAGGGGTGTCCACATACCTTTGTATATATAGTGTATCCCAGCAAAAAGAGGGGAGAGGGAAACATCTTTACTCTCTTCAGCAATCAGCTACTTCCTAGACATTGAAGTGTCAACTGTAGGAACCTTCTCTTCCTTCAGCAGTCCTACAAAGTTACTCACCTTTGGGGTTTTCAAAGGAGAGGTCAAATCAGGAGGTTAACCGAAATCAGGATCACCCATTAATGTCTCAGACAGATCAACCATGGTGGGATTGCTGACATCCTCCTCAACACTAGACTTGCTCCAGGCAACTTTCTTAGACATAGCATGTGTATCAGCACACGCTGGGAACACGCTAGGGTACTTTTCTGATAACCCATCAGGTTCCTCTACTCTGGGTTCCTTACAAACGACAGGATTTGGCACAACCTTCCCTCCAGCCAAATTGTTTCCCCCAAATGAATGAGACCCCCTTCACCGGTAGGCTAGGCCTCACGCCAACGACAACAGAACCAGAAATAAGATCAGACTCGAGTTCCAATTTTACAAAGGAAATTCCATGCAACACTGTAACCAGTTGCTGAAGTGTCCGAAAAAAGCAAAACACCCTCCAAAATGAAGGAATGGACTTCCCCAGTGTCTCACAGTATCTACACCGGCTGCTTAACAGCATCGCCACTATGCAGAGAGACGAAACCCGTCTGAAACAAAGGGTTCATACACATCTGATCCAAAATCTTGTTTAGGAGATACACCAGTGCTCCCACAAGAACAAACTGCTTTTTCTCTCTAGTTTTTCTGTTTCAACTTAGGACACAGAGACAATGTGTCCTTTCTCTTGGCTGTAATGACAAACTGGCGGATACAAAAAACAGTTTTCTGACGATCTTTATCTTTGGGCACTGTAGAAAAGGACTCAAACCTCACAGTGGGAAGTGACATCTCTGGATTGCTTTTTGCGTAGGGATAACTACTGGTTGCTTTGTTTGTGACGGTAGTTTTATGTGTCAACACAAACTCATCTGCAAGGACTGCAGCTTTCTCAAGAGTGAGATCCTTGTGCTCATAAATGTAGGTAGCAACCATTTCATGAAGGCAATTCTTGAACTGCTCGAGAAATATGAGTCACCTTAAATCCTCAAGGTCCTTGACCTTTTGAGAACCACACCACCGATCAAAAACACATTCTTGTTCCCTTGCGAACTCAACATGGCATTGTGATGCTGTCTTTCCTTGTGCTCAAGCTTTAATTTCTGTTGCTCCAACTTTGCCTTTAGTTCTAACTCCCTTAGTTGCATGTCTATGGGATGTACTATACTACCCATAGCGCCCTTTTCATCAGCTTCTCTCTCCTGAAGGATTTCCTCCTCCACTAATGCAGTACCGATCAACTCTTTGACTACTGCTTTGGATCACCAGATGCCACCTTGATGTCATAATGCTTTGCAAAAGTCGAGCAGTTTTGCCTTTGTACTGTACATTTATCTAGCATTACCCATGTAGGGTTTTCCACAAGCACTTCCAACTTGAAGTCCATGGCTTTTTAAAATGTCATAAGCCTGTGATTATGCAACTTTCAAAATGATTCCACCAGTCTTATAACCTCGTTGGGTGGATGTAAGTGATAAAAACTCTACCACAAAAGTGTATTTTGAACAGTCAATTATCTGGGCACAGCAAAGCTTCAGAGTAGGTTATTAGAGCGACTACCGTACTCACGGGAAACAAGATCAGGGATGAGCCCCCATTTTGTTATGTTCCCCAGCAAGAAAACCAAAAATTGTCACTCAAACCCAGAGGGGAACTAACAAAGAGTCACTAATAACCTAAATTAAACAGGTAGAGTTTTAGGAGGGTTTCTGAAAGACACTCATGGTGGTGTCCTCTGAAAGTTAACTTGCAACATCAACTGGAACCTAAAAGACACCCACCATCTGCACCCACTAAATTTGCCCAAGAAGAGGCAATCAAAAGAAAAACACACACCAAACTTAAAGACAGGAAGCAAACCAAAAAGGTGGAGCAAAACAAAATCACAGAAATCAGATAACGGTTTGCCTGTCCAGCACACAAACTTGCCACTAAAGGTCTCAACCCTCCACCTCACTCAAGATGACTGGAGTAATGGGCCAGTCACTCTTAAATAGCACCTGGGCCAGCACAGTTGAAACACCTTCCCACTAACGAGATGGCAACCAGCACCGGTGTAACACATACTGACTAACGAGGTGACGCCAATCGGTGCGTCCTATGTCCAACCTCAAAACATAAATGGAAAAACCAAAACCTGTAACACCGGTGACTGTGATACACACATACAGAACCATGTCTATCAAACAGTCATTTAAGACATGGAAAATAAAGTGAATTATTGAGCCCTTTATAAATGATGGCACCAATGTTTACGTTAAACTGGTAAGGCCAAGGCAAGGAACATCAATTAATGCATGCAATCTAAAGCCCACAAGAGTAAGATTTAGATTGAAGTCATTTGATATAGGACACAAGGGACTAATGGTTTCGGAAGTGTTTGTATATGCAGGAATATACGGACACAAAATACAGACAGACAAATAGAGATGGTTCTTGGCAGTGTTGCTGGACTGGTCCACATTGGGCCAATGGCAGCTCAACTAAGGTAATAAGTTAAAGGCGTATGCTGTAGGCCTTAATAATATATATATATATACTGAACAAAAATATAAAAGTGTTGATCGCATGTTTCATGAGCTGAAATAAAAAGATCCCAGAATACTTCCATACGCACAAAAAGTATATTTCTCTAAAATTTTGTAGACAAATTTGTTTACTTCCGGTTAGTGAAAAAAACAAGATAATCCATCCACCTGAAAGGTGTACCCTATCAATAAACTGATTAAATGTGCAGTGTTGTCACACAACACAACGCCACAGATGTCTCAAGTTTTGAGGGAGTGTGCAATTGGCATGCGGACTGCAGGAATGTCCACCAGAGCTGTAGCCAGATAATTGAATGTTAATTTCTCTACCATATCCGCCTCCAACATCGTTTTAGGGAATTTGGCAGTACGTCCAACCAGCCTCACAACTGCAGACCACGTGTAACCACGCCAGCCCAGGACCTCCACATCCGGCTTCTTCACCTGTGGGATCGTCTGAGACCAGCCACCCGGACAGCTGATGAAACTAAGGAGTATTTATGTCTATAATAAAGCCTTTTTCTGATTGGCTGGGCCTGGCTCCCAAGTGGGTGGACCTATGCCCTCCCAGGCCCACCCATGGCTGCGCCCCTGCCCAGTCATGTGAAATCCATAGATTAGGGCCTAATGAATTCATTTCGTTTGACTGATTTCCTTATATGAACTGTAACTTGGTAAAATCATTACAATTGTTGCATGTTGCGTTTATATTTTTGTTCAGTATATATTAATTAAACGCCTTTCATAAGCACAGCTTATCAATAAACCAAATCAAGATGTACCATGTCAAACTGCAGGGTCAAGACAGGTTAATCACTTTGCACCAAGTAACTTTACCAATGGCAGTAAGACAACTTGGTCCAACTATCTGATAGCTATATCCCATACAGACACTGGCCCCCCTCTTGACATGGAGAGAAAAAATGTACGTTTTAAAATTAATTTCCTGCAATTCTACTCATTTTGCCATGGGGCGGAGATAACATTTTATAATAAAATGTCATGCAATTCTACTAATTTCGCTGTGGGACATAGAGAACATTTAGCAGTTTTACAGCTAATTTCCTACAAATATACACATTTTGACATAGGGTGGAGAGACATTCTAGTAGTTTTAAAGCTAATTCCCTGCAATTCTACACATTTTGCCATGTCATGTTAATATGATATTTGAGTGAGAGTGACTAACAAAAGCAATAATCAGGGCCCTTGGGCACGTACCCTGCATGCCCAGTCAGTAATTCGACCATGATTACTGCAAGTTTAGATTGCTGGCTAGACTAACTTACCAAACTAAAAAATGCTAGCTGACATGGGCTAATTGAATGACCATGTCAGTGACTGACATAACACAATAAAAAAAATTATACTATTCTAACTCTCTACAGTACGTTGAGAACCAGACTGTTCCTCAGACCGAGACTGAGTGTTATGATGGTTTGTTTACGTTTCTACGGTTGTGGCTTGATGGAGTAGGCCTAAAGCTCCATCTAGTTGTCGCATCAAGGACAACAGTTGTTCACAACAGCAATATTTTAGCTAAGCCTAACACTTACCCCTTTCCTAACCTTAATCTCATTCCCCTAACCTGCCACGTTAATTATCCTAACCTGCTACGTTAATTCCTCTAACCTGCTATGTAAACAAACCATCAGTAACACCACACCAGCCCTGGACAGACAGACTCACACACTAGTCTCCTTCTTCTTCTTCTTCTTCTTCAATGAGGTTTAACGGCGGTTGGCATCCAATTTGTTGCTTTACCGCCACCTACTAGACTGGACTTCAACTCCCTTATCCTTTCCTTGAAAAATAAAATAAACCAAAGCAAAGAAATATCCTACCATCTAACACTACACTCACACCTTCAACACTACAACTAATAATTAACCCCACCCTTCTCCACTGTTTAAATACACTCACTCCTACCTCATGCCCTCAATCTGAATTGATGGGACATCGCCATTTAACACTACCTGTAACTCTTCTACTGTCAAGTCTCGCACACCCAAATATCTCTCTGCAGCTGCCACCACCACCTCAATTTTCTTCGATTTGCGTTCCATCCCTGCAGTACAATTAAGAACCATCGCTATAAACGCTAAAAATCCAATCTTGCTGATCCATATATCACTTTTTGGTTTATCCCTCTGTACTTGTACATCTCTACTACTCACACCATTTCTCTCAGGACCCCTCCCCCTTGACCCATCTTCCTCTACTTTCTTCACTGCCTCCGCATATGACAACTTCTTCTCTACTCTTACCCTGGATACCTCAACCTGCTTCTCTCGCACTGGACATGTCTGATCCCCAGCCCCATGGCCACCCCTACAATTAGCACACACCACCACTTTCCCCACTGCTTCACACTCCTTTGTTTCCTGCCCTTCTGCACACTTCTCACACCTTGGAATCTCCCTTCTACACACTGCTGCCACATGCCCATAAGTTTGACACCTGTAACATCTTAAGGTATTCGGCACATATGCTCGCACTGGATAACTTATATATCCTAACCTCACTTTCTCAGGCAAAGACTCACCTTCAAAACTCAAAAGAACAGACAATGACTCTTCTGTTTCCCCACTCTCGCCACCCTCCTGAGTGGCGCAGTGGTCTAAGGCATTGCATCGCAGTGCTAACTGTGCCACTAGAGATCCTGGTTCGAATCCAGGCTCTGTCGCAGCCGGCCGCGACCGGGAGACTCATGGGGCGGCGCACAATTGGCCCAGCGTTGTCCAGGGTAGGGGAGGGAATGGCCGGCAGGGATGTAGCTCAGTTGATAGAGCATGGCGTTTGCAACGCCAGGGTTGTGGTTCGTTTCCCACGGGGGGCCAGTATAAAAAAAATATATATATATATATATGTATTCACTAACTGTAAGTCGCTCTGGATAAGAGCGTCTGCTAAATGACTAAAATGTAAAATGTCGCACCAAACGACGAGCATCACACACACCGGGAATCATCTCCTTCAGTTGGTCAACTTTTACATTCACTGCTACCCCAGTAATCACTCCTCTTAATGGCGCCCTTTTCTTAAGAGCGAAACAATTCACAGTTCTTTCCCCCATTTGTTTAACTCTGAGCGCCTTCTCCCTCTGCCCAACAGAAACACAAACAATTATCACTAGATCACTTCTGGTTACCCTCACCGATTCCACTTTACCCAACGCTCTTCTTTAACAAACCTTCTCCCTTTTCCCCGCCATTTTTAACTGACTCAAACTCACAATCTTCCTCCATCTCTCTCTTAGACCTCCTCTGCCTCTCTTTTTCCCTCCATTCCTCCTCATTCATCCAAGTATACGTCTCCTTATGATAATACTGCATTTCTCCAAACCTATATCTGTTTCTTGCCTTCTCTAAGGACTCAATTTTCCCTCTCCTTTCCCTTCCGGCGTCTATTCTATCCTCGGCCTTGACCTCTTCATTGCTCTCCTCTTCTGATCCGCTGTCCTCCTCTCCTGAATCACCATCGTCTTCCGATCCCTCATCCGAGCTGTTATCCTCACTATCATCAGGACTTACTCCCTTTCCAACTGCTCGTCTTTTCGCTGAAGACGCCATGCCATCGAACCTGCACAGTTTCCCGCCTCCTGCCCCTCTGCTCGGTTTCCTTAACTATAATAAGGATAAAGAAAAACAATTTTACCTCTTCAATATAATTGTGCTAATGGTAAATATCATATTAATAAATGTAAATACACTCTTCCATGTTTTCTATAAGGAGTTCGAGCAGTACCCACACTAGTCTCTTCTAGCTCTGATGTTTATGTAGGCCTTCTGTCAGTCTGTCTCTGAGCCTAGCCAACATCTCCATCTAGTGGTCACAGTCTCTACCTGCACTCGAAGAACACATCCCACATGATGCAGTAGTTCAGAGACATTCGGATGCCTGATGTGAAGGTCTGGTCTCGAAGGACCCCTTCTAAGGTAATCTTCATGGGGGGGCAGGTCTCTGTTAGGGGTGGGTGTTGATTAGGGATTGGGGAAATGTTCAGCAACCATGTTAAGAATACTTATTCAGCTTGTACATTTTAGTCATTTAGCAGATGCTCTTATCAAGAGCAACTTACAGGAGCAATTAGGGTTAAGTGCTATGGTATATGAAGAAGTATGACGTTGCTAATGTTTAAAGTAGAGGGAGCCATTTTGTAGTGACACCCCTGTTCGTTGGAGACAGGTGATTGGACAGTAGAGGGAGCCACCCATATTTTTGCATACCTTATAAGTATAGGCTAAAGACAAAGGACGTTAGAACAGACATATTATTTTTGGACACTGTTCTCCAGACACTGCAGGCGTCTGTAAACTTATGCTGAAATCTTGTGATATAAATAAAACTTATAATCAAAGTACAGCCTAAGCGGACTCTTTGTTTCACAGCAATAATTACCAGCATTGACTCGACACTACAATGCCTTGCTCAAGGGCACACTGACAGATTTTTCACCTAGTCGGCTTGGGGATTTGAACTAGTGACCTTTCGGATACTGGCCCAACGCTCTTAACCGCTAGGCTACAGTATGTACATTCATTATGCAGATGTTTAGTGGATACTTTATTAATCGTTCAGCTATAATTAAATAAGAATGCATTCCAAATGGCTCCCTATTTAGTGCACTACTTTTGACCAGGACCCATGTGTTCTTTTTTCTGTTCACATGATATATGTAACGAAATAATTGATGATGTTTCTCTGTCCGCTGATGTATATAATAAATATATATAATGTACAGTGAGGGAAAAAAGTATTTGATCCCCTGCTGATTTTGTACGTTTGCCCACTGACAAAGAAATGATCAGTCTATAATTTTAATGGTAGGTTTATTTGAACAGTGAGAGACAGAATAACAACAACAAAAATCCAGAAAAACAAATGTCAAAAATGTTATAATGTGATTTGCATTTTAATGAGGGAAATAAGTATTTGACCCCCTCTCAATCAGAAAGATTTCTGGCTCGCAGGTGTCTTTTATACAGGTAACGAGCTGAGATTAGGAGCTAATCTCAGTTTGTTACCTGTATAAAAGACACCCTTCCACAGAAGCAATCAATCAATCAGATTCCAAACTCTCCACCATGGCCAAGACCAAAGAGCTCTCCAAGGATGTCAGCGACAAGATTGTAGACCTACACAAGGCTGGAATCGGCTACAAGACCATCGGCAAGCAGCTTGGTGAGAAGGTGACAACAGTTGGTGCGATTATTCGCAAATGGAAGAAACACAAAATAACTGTCAATCTCCCTCCGCCTGGGGCTCCATGCAAGATCTCACCTCGTGGAATTGCAATGATCATGAGAACGGTGAGGAATCAGCCCAGAACTACACGGGAGGATCTTGTCAATGATCTCAAGGCAGCTGGGACCATAGTCACCCAGAAAACAATTGGTAACACACTACGCCGTGAAGGACTGAAATCCTGCAGCGCCCGCAAGGTCCCCCTGCTCAAGAAAGCACATATACATGCCCGTCTGAAGTTTGCCAATGAACATCTGAATGATTCAGAGGAGAACTGGGTGAAAGTGTTGTCGTCAGATGAGACCAAAATGGAGCTCTTGGACACGAATTATCTGTTTAGTGTGTTAACACACTATTGGTAGTTTGTTGTAACCAAGTATTGGTGCTAAACTGTGTGTTATTGGATGCTAGCATGCTAGTTAGCTATGGCGTCATAGTTAGCTAGCTGAATAAAGTAAGTTGAGTCTATTCCTTGAAACATTGAACCGCTGTAGTTCACAACAATTCTAATTTCTAAAGTGGAAGTTGGGAGAGTTTTTATTCGGGTGGTTCAGTGAAACAATTATAGTTTCTGAGGTGGAAGTTTTGGTGAGGGAGGCCCTACTCTCTCCTTTCCCAGATGTTTAGTTCATTTCATTCCGATCTCCTCTGCATTATTGTAGCCATTTGCTACAGCCTGTCAACTATGCCTCTGCCTATCCCTGTTCTCTCCTCTCCGCACAGGCTACACAAATGCCTCACACCGCGTGGCTGCTGCCTCTCTAACCTGGTGGTCCCTGCACGCACCCCACACCTGCCGTTCTGCTGCCAACAAGGCTGACTTCATCCCAGCCTATGCTAACCTCCAGTCCCTCGACTTCCTGGCGCTGACGGAAACATGGATTACCACTGAAAACACTGCTACTCCTACTGCTCTCTCCTCGTCTGACCATGTGTTCTCGCATACCCCGAGAGCATCTGGTCAGAGGGGTGGTGGCACAGGAATCCTCATCTCTCCCAAGTGGACATTCTCAATTTTTCCCCTAACCCATCTGTCTATCTCCTCATTTGAATTCCATGCTGTCACCGTCACTAGCCCATTTAAGCTTAATATCCTTGTCATCTATCGCCCTCCAGGTTCCCTTGGAGAGTTCATCAATGAGCTTGACGCCTTGATAAGCTCCTTTCCTGAGGATGGCTCACCCCTCACAGTTTTGGGGGATTTCAACCTCCCTACGTCTACATTTGACTCATTTCTCTCTGCCTCCTTCTTTCCACTCCTCTCCTCTTTTGACCTCACCCTCTCACCGTCCCCCGCTACTCACAAGGCAGGCAATACGCTTGACCTCATCTTTACTAGATGCTGCTCTTCTACTAATCTCACTGCAACTCCCCTCCATGTCTCCGACCAATACTTTGTATCCTTTTCTCTCTCGCTGTCCTCCAACACTACTCACTCTGCCCCTACACAGATGGTAATGCGCCGCCGCAACCTTCGCTCTCTCTCTCCCACTACTCTCTCCTCTTCCATCCTATCATCTCTTCCCTCTGCTCAATCCTTCTCCCTCCAATCTCCTGATTCTGCCTCCTCAACCCTCCTCTCCTCCCTTTCTGCATCCTTTGACTCTCTGTGTCCCCTATCCTCCCGGCCGGCTCGGTCCTCCCCTCCAGCTCCGTGGCTTGATGACTCATTGCGAGCTCACTGGCATCTTTTCACTCCCTCCTCTCTACATTTTCTTCATCTGTTTCTGCTGCTAAGACCACTTTCTACCACTCTAAATTCCAAGCATCTGCCTCTAACCCTAGGAAGCTCTTTGCCACATTCTCCTCCCTGCTGAATCCCCCCCCCCCCCCCCCCCCCCCCCCCCCCCTCCTCTCTCTCTGTGGATGACTTCGTCAACCACTTTGAAAAGAAGGTTGACGACATCCGATCCTCGTTTGTTAAGTCTAATGACACTGCTGGTCCTGCTCACACTGCCCTACCCTATGCTTTGACTTCTTTCTCCCCTCTCTCTCCAGATAAAATCCTGCGACTTGTGACTGCAGGCCGCCCAACAACCTGCCCGCTTGACCCCATCCCCTCCTCTCTTCTCCAGACCATCTCCGGTGACCTTCTCCCCTACCTCACCTCGCTGATCAACTCATCCTTGACCGCTGGCTATGTCCCTTCCGTCTTCAAGAGAGCGAGAGTTGCACCCCTTCCAAAAACCAACACTCGATCCACTGATGTCAACAACTACAGACCAGTATCCCTTCTTTCTTTTCTTTCCAAAACTATTGAGCGTGCCGTCTTTAGCCAACTCTCTTGCTATCTCTCTCAGAATGACCTTCTTGATCCAAACCAGTCAGGTTTCAGGACTGGTCATTCAACTGAGACTGCTCTTCTCTGTGTCACGGAGGCTCTCCGCACTGCTAAAGCTAACTCTCTCTCCTCTGCTCTTGTCCTTCTAGACCTGTCTGCTGCCTTTGATACTGTGAACCATCAGATCCTCCTCTCCACCCTCTCCGAGCTGGGCATCTCCGGCGCGGCTCACTCCTGGATTGCGTCCTACCTGACCGGTCGCTCCTACCAAGTGGCGTGGCGAGAAGCTGTCTCCGCACCACGTGCTCTCACCACTGGTGTCCCCCAGGGCTCAGTTCTAGGCCCTCTCCTATTCTCCCTATACACCAAGTCACTTGGCTCTGTCATATCCTCACATGGCCTCTCCTATCATTGCTACGCTGACGATACACAACTAATCTTCTCCTTTCCCCCTTCTGATAACCAGGTGGCGAATCGCATCTCTGCATGTCTGGCAGACATATCAGTATGGATGACGGATCACCACCTCAAGCTGAACCCTGGCAAGATGGAGCTGCTCTTCCTCCCGGGGAAGGACTGCCCGTTCCATGATCTCGCCATCACGGTTGACAACTCCGTTGTGTCCTCCTCCCAGAGTGCGAAGAGCCTTGGCGTGACCCTGGACAACACCCTGTCGTTCTCCGCTAACATCAAGGCGGTGACCCGATCCTGCAGGTTCATGCTCTACAACATTCGGAGAGTACGACCCTGCCTTACACAGGAAGCGGCACAGGTCCTAATCCAGGCACTTGTCATCTCCCGTCTGGATTACTGCAACTCGCTGTTGGCTGGGCTCCCTGCCTGTGCCATTAAACCCCTACAACTCATCCAGAATGCCGCAGCCCGTCTGGTGTTCAACCTTCCCAAGTTCTCTCACGTCACCCCGCTCCTCCGCACACTCCACTGGCTTCCAGTTGAAGCTCGCATCTGTTACAAGACCATGGTGCTTGCCTATGGAGCTGTGAGGGGATCGGCACCTCTGTACCTTCAGGCTCTGATCAGTCCCTACACCCAAACGAGGGCATTGCGTTCATCCACCTCTGGCCTGCTGGCTCCCCTTCCTCTGCGGAAGCATAGTTCCCGCTCAGCCCAGTCAAAACTGTTCGCTGCTCTGGCACCCCAATGGTGGAACAAGCTCCCTCACGACGCCAGGACAGCGGAGTCACTCACCACCTTCCGGAGACATTTGAAACCCCACCTCTTTAAGGAATACCTGAGATAGGATAAAGTAATCATTCTACCCCCCCCCCCCCCCCCCCCCCCCCCCAAAAAAAAAAAAATAAAAAAAAAAAATAACATATTGTAAAGTGGTTTTCCCACTGGCTATAGGGTGAATACACCAATTTGTAAGTCGCTCTGGATAAGAGCGTCTGCTAAATGAC